GTAATATCACTATGGCAGAGCAATCTCTTGCGTAGTTAACTATGAAGTGTGGATCCTTTTCTTTCCTACGTTTAATATACTAAAAAATTTTTTAATAGTTTTTAATTATTTTAAAAAAAAAGGTTATAGTTTAATAGTTTTGCTATGAAAATATAAAGTAGTAAAAGGAAAATGCTCGAATTTACATTTGTGTTTTAAAGATTAACCAAAAAGAATAAATGTAATTAAAATGAATTTCTAAGAAATATAGGTAGAATAATGATGCCTCTGTTATGCGAGGAATAAAAAAACGATCGGGGAAAAACGGTTTTGGCATTTTCAAAACGCATAACAGAGTTAGCTAAGGTGAAAGTTGGTCAATGTACGAATGAATAGTCCACGTGCAACGATTGTTAAGTCCTTAAAAACGAAGGTTTCAAGGAAAATTCTGCTATTTTTTTTTTAAAACTTTGTTTTGTAGTTAGTAATATTATTTTTATAAAATTTTCTTCTTTCTTTTTCAAAGAATATTTGGATACTTTGAGTAAAATACTTAGTGCTGAAGAGTAAATTTTGGCTACCTCCAAGCTGGTATAGTGAAAATTTATAGTTTCTTCCCACGGAGCAAAGATATGACTCTTTCCAATAACTTGGCCACCCTATTGTAACATGAAGAGTTAAACATGATTCCTAAAGGAATAGTACTTTTTTACTAGTGCATATCCAAGTAATAATTTTCAATTTTCCAAAAACTAATTTTACTAACGCACTAAATAAATTCATTAACAATGTTTTAACTAAAATACTAAATCTTGGTTTCTACTAAAACTTGCATGTTAAAATTATCCAGTTACTACCCACATAAATTAAGTAGACAATAATCTAGTCATAAGTCAACTAATATATAAGATTTTAACAAACTTATATCTTAGTTTGGCGTGGGATCGAGAAGTATATATGATCTTAAACCCAGTCTTCTTAGTAAAAACTACTTATACTAACTTAAGGATGGGGAGTGAATTCTACAATGGAGTAATTCTCTAGCTACTGAGCTAAGAGTGGTCTTTGAGATAAATAGTTTATTAGATAAAAAAGCTCTAAGAAGAAGCTAGTTTATCCCCAGCAAATGCATATTTATGAAGAGTGAAAGGTTTAACAAAGGCTAATTACTCTAATAGGAAATAATACTAGAACACTAACATCGAAGGGATGGCTTTAAGATAAGATAAAGTATTTGGATACAGTAAGACTAGTTTAGTTAGTGGCTTTATGTCAAACTTTAAGTTAGTATGGAATTATTAGAGTGGCACTAAAAGCTTTGAGGTTTGCATAGTGGGGCCTTTGAAGCTTATAAAGTCTCTTCTAGCGTCTGGATTAACTGATGTCTACTACTTTTTTTCTGGTTCATCTTTTGGTGAAAGGAAGTCCTTCTTCACAATCGTTTTTAGCGTTGTTAATATACTGGTAGTGTTACTCTTCGAACCTTGTGCTATCTTGCTTGGGCTCGGTATAGTTTTCTGATTTGGTGAAGTTTTAGGCTATACCTCATTAAAATAAGCTCCAGTTATATACTGATGATGCCTCATAAGCACAACATACTAGCAGACTAGCAACGAATCGCTTTTTATAAAATAGCACTCTTTCTAGTTTCACTGGTCATTTCTAGTGAGTTTTTCTGCTAAATACTCCTTTCAATTTCACTGGCTAGATACACAGTAATCAGCCTATGCGGAACACCGTGTTTTAGCGTCCAATTCGATGCTTGAGCACGTACCCAGGTATACATTTTGATAATTTCATCTTTATTGATCTTTAAGCATGACTTGTACTCGGCTTCCCTTTCTTAACTAACGCTGTGATTAAAATTTATCTCTAGGCTGTACAGCTAGACCGAATTAGAGGACTGGTTTTTAGTTTAAACCTAGTTAACTTTCGCGTCAGTTAAGTACATTCTTAAGTAGAGTGAGGACCTGCCACTCGTCCCTAGGCTATATTATCGTACAGGGGTTTGTAAAAGACAAAAGCATGCGCGGTACGCGTCCAGCAGTGCTATCATTCCTCCCGCGCATAGTATACCGTCTCTGTTACGGAGGACATAAAGCAGGAGCTGTTATACATACTAGTAGAGCAAAAAAAGTACATATTTTATTAATAAATATGATACAAAGAAGATATAGGTATAAGGATCAAGATGTATAATAGTCCACTTAGTCAATCGACTGGAAGATAGGTGCAGACGCACTAAGTGAATTCCTTTGAACAACAGGAACTTATGGTTCCAAAATGTAAACTGGCCTTTAAAATAAAATTTAGGAGTAGCCATTTTCCAGGAAATCTATTTTCAAAAAAGTAATTCCTATCTTTAATTTACGTTAAATCAATGTTCCAGTACATTCCAGTACCAGATATAGTAACCGATATACTGTGTCACGTAAATTAGTTATAATTGGGTTGTTATTTTCACCGGCGCTTTGACACTTTCCCTTTGAACATGTTGTCTCTAAAAAAGTTTTATATAATTAATTCACGAAAATTCGATGCATTTCATTGAAACACAAGAATTTATATTAATAAACAAACAATGAACGCACTGGTTTGCCCAAAGTTAAATTTCTCTTTCGTTATTTTTGTTTCATTTATTTTTGTTATAACTTCGTTCAATTTTTACATATCGATATGTATATAATAATGTTCATAAGTTTCTCTAGTTTATAAAGCTCTTTCCTGGGCTACAATAGTCTTCTATTTAACACATAAAAGTAATGTTTAATATGCAAACCAAAAAATTGTGGTAATGGCGTGATCATCCACCGTAAAGGGTCCTGAGCTTTCAAGTGTAAAGCGAAAAACTAGATAAACTAGCATGGCCTGCTGCTTCATTTCTTCCTATAAGTGCTAAGTGAATAGGCAGAGCTTAAGAGGGGCTTGACGTGCGGTTCGTTTAAATAGCTGATAAAAATTATAAAACTTAATGTATAGTGTCACTAGTAGAAGGATTTAACTTAATTTGGACCTGTCTGACTTTCTCTTAATAGACTAAGCATTTTGACAAACTTGTTTTCAAAGTATATAGAAAAGTAAAAAACATTTTTTTCCAAAGTTGCTCCGTCATTGTCTGGGGGCTGAGCAACATCGATAATATTGTATCTAGTAGGCAACAGCGATTCCCTATAAAGTCACGTTATCGTTGGGTTGAGCTCTTAATAAAAGCACTATGCAACTTTTCTTGTTGCATTCAACTGATAGCTAGCTATTAGAGTTTGACAAAAGTTGTATACGTAATTTATCGAACGAAACTGTGAGCTGTCACCGTAGCACAGTGGTTAGAGCATTGTCACGCAATCTCAAGGTCGGGGAATAGAATCTTGTTGACCCAACTCGCTTTATCTGGGCTGGTGGTTACGCGTACAACTTCCCTATAAACAAAATTCTGATAGTGCTAAATCCGACAAGTCACGCGTTCTACCACGTGACTTGTCTGTAAGGTGCACGGGGCACCTCTCGGTTTTTTTCTGAAAAGGTATAAGATTAAATTATTGCTCCTACTCTCTCCGTCGCTATCCTAATAATTAGCTTTCATATTAATAAGTACATACTCTATAGTAAAAGTAAGATTGCTCTTCGTCTCCCAGGTTTACTATCGTCCAGCGAACGAAAAAAGATACCTATTAGCTATACGCGTTTATTATAAACTCCTGGCGCTTACTCAGAGGCTGCGAACTACAATAAATAATAGGTGGCCATAAAAATTGGAATACCGGAGGACCACACGCTTATCTTAACCTGAATCACGTCCCTTTCTATGATCCAGAGCTTTTAAATTTCTTTGGTAGAAGTATATGAATAGACCAACATAACAATTATTAAAAAAGGGCTCCTCAATTCTAGTGAGCTCACAGCTGGGGAGGTCTGACTTACAGTAGTGCTGGGCTGTCTCTCCAGGTGGCCTCGGGTTCTTGTGCCTAAAGCCGCCTCTCCCGGTTGTAGTTTTTAGCGGTTTTCCACTACACTAGACCGAATGGCGGGAGCCCTGGCAGGATATTTCCTGCTTTTCCAGTCCTTTGGGACAGTCATTGTAGCTCTGTAAAGGGCGTACACCGGTGGGCACTCGTGCTCTAACCCCTGCAGAAGAGGAGGATTTAGATTAAGCGGCTTAAGGTTTCAAGAAGGCTGGCCATAGTATACCAGTGCTAAAAAAAAAATTATTAACCGACTGCTGCTGTCTCTTTCTCTTCATTTCTAATATTGGGCGCAAGTAATTTTATGTTTAGATTTCAAATTCACTTATCGCCTAAAAAACCGACGAATGATAATGATATCTACCTAAATGAGCTCTGGATTCAGAGTTTTGCGTTGCTGCAGAAAAGTTATCACAATAAAAAATTAAAATAACTTCATAAATATAAAAATAAAAAAAAATGTGTATAAAAGTAAAAAGGTTAATAAATATAAATGCTTTTAAAATTGGTAAAATTTCCATTTCATAAGCGCTTAGAAATAAAAATTATTTAAATAACGCCGCTATTATTATTTTTTTAAAGCATTTATTTATAATTTATTTCTTATTTAAATAATTAGCAGCCAACAATAAACTTAACGATTTCTCTACATTTCTTAATTAAAAGGGAAAAAGAAATATAAAAATTTTATCAGCAATAATAAAATATAATTACTTTGTCTATTCCAACAAATTATGTACTTCAATTATTTTTTACTTCAAAGTTATAAAATAATTATAACCTCAACAACTCAAACAATTCACATAATTTCAACTTTTTATTTCTTTCGAGCATTCATACTAATAATAACTTTTATTAATTCTAATGAATCACCTAATGTTTATTCTTTTCTACTAACAAAATAATAATAACTTTCTTTAACTCGAACAACTCACAAAATTACAACTTTTTTTTATTCAAGCATTAATAAAATAGTAATAACTTTTATTAATTCAAACAAATCACACAATCTCAATTTTTTATTATTTTTTCAATGAAATCATTTAATTTTCTTTCGGGCATTCAAAAAATAATAACAACTTTTATTAATTCTAACAAATCACACAATCGCAGAAAAGTTTTTTTCGTTGAGGTTTATATTTTCTTAGAAAAACGAGTTGTTTGCTATTAATAGCGCCTCGCCGGGCTCTTCTAATAATTTCAACAGCATCTTCCGCTTCCATGCCAGATTCAATTAACGCGATCGCCACTAGTACAGGAGCTCTACACAATAATAATAAGTAAAAAGAATTGAAAAATAATATTATATAAATAATAAAGTAAAAAAGAACAATACAGTATATTAATAAGAATAAAGATAGTAACAATAATAAATATTAAGTCATATATAAACAACTTTATGCTGATAATAATATAAATACTAATACATGTATATTAGAAACAATAATAATAATAATAAATGAAAAAAAGCATAAACAATATATTAATAATAAGAGAAATATAGTATAATAATAGTAAAATATAATTTAAAGTTAATAACTTTTTTATAAATTAAAAATAATAAATAAAGTATAATAATACGTAAATTATATTTAAATATATATAATAACAATAATAATAATTAATAATAAAACATGAAAAAGTAAAGTATATAAACATAATAGAATAAATATAATATAAATAATAGTGAATAAATTTTATTTAATTAACTTCCTAAAATAAAAAAATAATAATAACATAAAACCTTCCCAATCCAGCAACGCAGTGGATAGCGATTGTAGCGTTTTTATTATCTTTAAACCTTCGAGCGACTAAAGCCAGCCAGTCGCTTATAATTCGCTGAGGAGGCGCCTCGCCATCTCCAAATGGCCAATCCTACAATAATATTTTTTTAAAAAAAAAATTTAAACTTAAAAATTCTTTTAGAAAACATGTAAACTATAATAATTTTTTATTATAGTCATTATAATTACTATGTTTACTTTTAGTTATCAAGATATAAAATAACTTTCCTAAATATTAAACAATAACATGTTTAATATATACAAATAATTTTTACTAATATTTATTAATAAATAGTTTATAATATAGTAAAATAAAAAAATAAAATAAAATTAAACTCCAAAACATGAAAAAGTAAAATATTAAAAAAAATTATCATATTTAAATTTTGTAAAAACTATTCTGAAATTTTCTAAATATATAAATTTTAATAGTTATTTTTCTTTGAAGAAATTTTAATTGTAAATAATATTAAAAAATAATTACTTCAAACAAAATAGTTTTCAATTTATTATAAAATTCTAAATATCATGTAAAAAATATTTAAACTGCTAGTAATACCTTAAAAGAAAAATATAAATGTGTATACTTTAAACATTAAAATATAAATAGAATAAAAAATTATTTTCATTTCAAAAATAATTTAATGAAATACGAAATTTAGCAGTAAAGTAATTTTTGATATAAACATTAGCAAAAAAGGTTGAAAATGAAAAACAAAAAACTAATATACTTAAAAAATATATATAAAATCTTTTATATATAAATAAATATTTATTTATTATTATATAAACTAAAGAATATATAATAATATATAAATTGAATAAGAATTTCTAATAATAAAAACTAATAAAATTATTTTTAATAAATTATAATAAATTTAAAAAAGTAAATTTATTAAAGGTTTATTTAATATAAAAAAAATTTATTAAAAAATTTTGAATTTATAAATAAAAATTATTTTATATAAAAAAAGTTAACGTTAAGAAAATTAGCACTTAGAAAATTTTCTAAACTTAAATTCCTAATAAAGAAAAAATTATTTTATTAAGTATTAACGTTAAGAAACTTTAAAAATAAAAAATTTCTATAAAATTTATACTTCTTAATAATCTTATTTTTTGCTCCAATAATATACAAGTAATATTAATTAGTATTTATTTTTATGTTTTTTTTTAATTAATATATAACTGTCATAAAAAGTACTAGCAATATAAATTTTAATTTAAAATTTAAAATATAAAATTTTTTAATAAGATTTAAGTTAAAAACTTAAATTTAATAGTGAGGATTAAATTATTTATAAAAATTATCACATCTAATAAAATTTTAAATTTATAAAAATAATTATATTAATAAAAAGTAATCGTTAAAAATAGAACTGAAAAAATCTAAAAAACTTAAATTACTTTATAAAAAATATTTTTTAAATAAATATTTGTAGTTAAAAAAAAATTACTAATATAAACTAAAGAAAATTAAAAAAAAAATTAATTTTTTTAATTATTTTAAAATTAATGGAACTTTAAAAAAGTTTAAAAACAAATTTCCTATTAAAAAAATTATCGTTAAAGAAATTCTTATAAAAATTTTAATATGAAAGATTAAATTTTTATTATATACATTGATTAAAAATTTCGTAAGAAAGTATTGCAAATATAATATTTAAAAAATTAAAAATATATTATTTACAAGAGATTAATTTATTAAAAAAAGTTGTAGTTAAAAAATTACTGACATAAACTATAAATAAGTTTAATAATTAATTTTTTAATTATAATTTTTTATTAATATATTATTATTAAAATAAAAATTTTTAGAAATTTAAAAAATAAAATTTTTCAAGATTAATTAAATTAATAAAAAAAAAAAGTAGGAATAGATTATTGATAAAAATTTAGCGTTGAAAAATACTACATTATATACTTTTTTTAAAAAAATAAAAAAACGAATTTTTATAGAAATTAAATTATTAGTAAAAGTAATCGTTTAAAAAAATTAACTAATTAGCTATAAAAAAGTTCAAAATATAATTTTTTGAAATAAAATAACTTAAAAGTAAAAAGTTATCACTAAAAAAGAACTAGTAAAAACTTTATAATACAGAAAATCTTATATTTACTAAAAGTGGACTATTAATAAATAGTTATCAAAAAGTCAGTAATTATTTTTTAATAAAGTTATCGTTAAAAAAGTTCTACTAATAAAACTTTTAAATAAATCAAAATTAAATTAATATATATATTAAAAAAAATAATAATATAAGTATTTAATAAAATAAAGGTTTTTGTTTAATAAATATTTAATACTAATAAAAAATTAAAAACTGGAAAATAGTATTAAAAAAAAATTAACGTTAATAGATTATAAAAAAAAATTGATGACTACTTTTTTTAAGAGCAATAAATGTATTAATCAAAAGTTATAGTTGAAAAGTATTACTATAAAAATTATTAAAAAATTAAAAACCTTTATTAAAAACTTAGAGTTAAAAAAATATTACGAATAAAAACTTTAGATTTTTAAAAACTTATTTATTTATAAAATTTAGTAATAAAAAGTTACAGTAAAAAAAAGGATAACTAATAAACTAATAAAAAAATTAAATTTCTTTAATGTTATAAAGTTATTAATCAAAAATAGAAACATACTGATACAAAAATCTTTTTAAATTTTTTTTTAATTTTATCGTTAAAAAATTACAACTAATAGAAATATTAAAAATGGTAATATTAAATCTTTTTATAAAATAAATTAATAAAGAATTATCAATTAAAAGTTAATACTACTACAAAAGTTATTACTAATAAAAACTTTAATAAATTAGAAAAAAAATTAAAAAGGTTATTGATAAAAAGTTATCGTTAAAGAAGGATAACAAATTTAAACTATTACTAAATTTTGCTAATCTTTTTTTAAAAATTTAAAAAAGTTATCCTTATAAAAATTATTAAACTTAAATTTTAAAAATAAAATAAGAAATTAACAAAAATTTATCTTTATAACAATTAAGAATTTTAAATTTTTAAATACAATTAAATTACCCAAACTTGAATGTTTTCCCTTTCAAAAAATTCTGCGTTATAAGTGGGATCGCATACTCGAACTACATCAGTAACGTTGTAAGTTTTTAATTCCTTATAAAATTAAAATTAGCTAAAAATAAATTATAGATCAAAAAAATAATTAGATCAAAATAAAAATAAGAAAATTAAAAAAAATGCCTTCAAGTAAGATCCCACGTTGGAAGCAGAAGGCGCATCCATTATTAAAAATTGCATTTCGTTTTTTTTTATAAAGGAAGGTGAATTAGATAAAGGCATTCTATTATAAAACATAAAATTATTAATAAAAATTTACAATTACAACAGTAATCAGAACTTTTAATTAACAAAATATTATCAATATCAGCAAAGTACAAAATATTTATTATATTTTGATAAGTTTTATAAAGAAAATGTAAAATTACTTTATCAATAGGGGAGTATTTTATTAGATAAAAACTCTCCTTTTTATGTATAAATTTTCTAAAAGTAGGGAGCTCGTTTATGGAGAGTGAAGAGGCTTGAGCTTTAATAGGCCGGGTAAGCAATTAAAAGTTTCCATAGGTTTTATAATAAACTAAAAAATAATATAAAAAACTTTATAATATTTAGAAGAAATAAGGAAACAAACCAAATTCATTATTTAGAATAAACAGTTAATTATGAAAACGTATAAAATTAAAGGCTATAATAAAGTATAAAGTTTGTGGTTTAAGTATTGTACATTTACCACTTTCTTTTTTATAAATTGTTAAGTAACAAATAGTTTTTAAATTAATAAACATACAAAAAAATATATAATAAAAAGAAAAAGAAAAAAAAAAGAAATAAAAGCTGCAGAGGACATCCCAGACCATCAAGAAAACGAAGAAGGAACAGCTAAAGCCAACAAACTGAAACTTATAAGCTCCGCGTGCACGTTACTACCATAAAAAACAAATTTACACAAAATATTTGACAAACCACATGGCTCCTTTAAATAGTGCAAAACATTCTTAGTTCAATCTTACATCAAAAAAGTATTACATATTAAGGTTATTATATTTGTTTATCTTCGTGCGAGTATCGCTATCTTTCTTTTAATAAACATTATATAATTTCTTGTAAGGTAAGAATTTTATATTAATGATCTCTTCTATACACCTCATCTGAATATTAAAATTCTAATATCGAAGAGGTTAAACGTTCATACTAATTTTTAGCAAATCCATAATTTTCATAATAAGCCATTTACACAAGATTATGAACAATTGTTAATTAAAAAAATAAATTGGATAAGACTCTCTGTGTAGTTTTTATATTGAAAGTGCTTCTCTGTTTTCTTGTATTAATAAATATGATAAATGAGAGCAATAGAAATGTGCTATTACCCGTTTTATTGGTATAAAAGTTGTATTTCACACAAAAAAAATACAATAAATAAATCTGGGGATAAAAAGTAATAAGCGTAAGACAATGGTTATAAGCCCATGTGTCTGCGGGCGAGCAAAAACTATACTGTTAAATAAAAATATACTGAGGATTTCCTAATAAATGAGCAGTAGTGTACCTTTTGTCAGCAAACTTTTGGTTGTAAATGGTATAAAAAAAATTTTTTTTCATTATATAAAAAATTGAAAAAAAAAGTACGTAGTTCTAGTTAAAATACACCTGACCTGAAAATGTTTAGTTATTTTAGTACATTAAGAACAATATTTTTAAAGTAAAATTATAAATGCTATATAAGAAAAAACGTCGTTTTTTCTAATAAGGTTTGACTTGAGAATTATAACTTTATTATTAAAAAAATTTTAAGAAGAGTTTTTAGTAGATTGGTAAGTTATATTACGCTTAACATTATGCTATGAGCTTTAACTGTCATTAATTATTTATTATTATGTGCGTACCAAATTGCTGTGTAATAGCAAAGCCATGAATTGATAGGCAGTTGAATGTTCCTTGTTTAAGCTTTATACTTTGAGCACTGGCCGAGTATATTTTATCAGAAGCACATCACATTTTGAAATGAAAGACAATAATGTTTTAGTACAAAAAAGGAAAAGGAAAAATGATAAATTTTATTAGTAATTCATAATTAATGTGCTAATATAATGACATAATAATTATTAAATAAGAAACCCTTACCTATTTTCTGCCTAGGGATTTAAAGTTACTGAATGTATTCCTTTTATTTTAAGAATTTGATTGCTAACCTAAGCAAACGTTTGTTTTTTAAACTTATATAGTCTAATGACTCTACAAATGAGTTTACCACCTTTAATATTTATTAGTTAATATACATAAGAAAAGGTTTAAATTTTATTAAATGAATTACAAAAATGAATATAAAATATTTTATTATAAGCTAAGGTAGATGGTAAAAAGCAGAACTCGATAGCATAACAAATTTAACTTAACAGGAGGCACTGCACAAAATGTCAAATAAAGTGGTTTCCCACAACACGATGTTAAAAAATTAACGCTTTGTTGTAAGCAAGTTAAAAAGAGCTGCTTTTTAGCATAGTTGGCGCACATGGAGTAAACTTAAACGATTTTGTATTAGCCATTATGTAGAACGGGTAAGAGTTATTACGATACTAAAAAACAAGGAGATATGAGAATTCTCGCTCTTAGTTTATAATTTTGTTTGGTTTTGGATCCCAGTTTAAAGGTGTGAATTAGGGCTTATTTTTGTTAATAGTAATTGTTATAGATTCTAGTCTACGAGACTTGGACGTCAAAAGGACATTGATTATCTATAAGGGGATCATACTAGTAATTAATTGTTTAACAATGTTAGTAATAATTAGTTAATGAGAATATGTAAATACATTAAGGTTAAGGCTTTACATTAACAAAAATTTCTTAGATAAGATGATTCCAAAGTAAATCAGTCACAATGAAAAACAAATTTCATGGTTGGTTAGGAAAACAACAGAAGACCATTAAATAAATAATTTTACACTTTCGAATTCAACGGAAACAAGTTAACTAAACTAATATAATAATTTTTTAGTAATTTGGTAAGAATAGGTTTTCTTACAAATATGGAAATAATTATCCTCATAGTGAGTATAAATGCCGTTGAAAACCAGCTAATATAACTGTACTTTTTAATTTATAAATTGCTTATCGAAATTCTCAATAGTTTGATTTGAATTTCATCTCTAAACGTATTATTTCTAAATAACACAAAAACAATTTTAGCCTAATATTACTACTCCTCTTCTCGGGTAAGGTTAGCTCATTTTTTGGGGGAAAAAAGCATTCAACTGATATAGTTAGTTTAACACTTTTTAAAATGTAAAACCGAGATCCCGATATTCCGCGACTGCTAGAACCTATATTAGCTAAGCAAGATAATTGATGGATTTGACTTTCGTTAATTGTCAAGTTCTATCTGTTATTGTTGCAATTCGGGTTATTTAGTTGCTCCACTCACGGTACGCAGTTACATAAGACAGATTCCACGCCACCAAAAATTAGGCGCTTTGTGTTTTGCTAATTATAACTGGTAAACCTAACCTATTCAGGATATTTAATTCTTATAAAACTATATATAATTATATTATTTTTAATTTAAGAAACGTGCTATCACGTTGATTTCCTCATACACCGAGCTAACTTAACAATTAAAGAACTTTACCCCCTCTTGTGTAAAAAGGCTTCTTTCTCAAAAAGCAACAAAGGTAAGTTTTATTTGAAAACTATTCGGCGACTTTGACTTGTTCAGCCGTGGCTTGGTTGTATGGCAGTCACCTAAATATAAAGCGACTTCAAGAGGATCTAAATCGACTGTCGCGAATAATTACAAGTGTCCCATGGTTTGTCCGGGATGCTCACATCCATCGTGACTTGAAGTTGGAACGCTTCCTTGATATTTTCGTCGGTTACTGTGGAGAGCTATGAAAATAAACATTAAGCTCATCCAAACGATTTATTTGTTCGAAAAATAACCTATGACGCTGGTGCTTACACTCGTTATAGGAGACCAGGACACCATCTTATCGCCTAACCCCTCCCGGACCTAGAGGACTTCTTTTCTCTAATTTGAAAATCAGATTAAATAGTATTTTAGGCCTCTTCTAACCTTGGCCTGGCTGTATTATATCAACTTTATAAATAAATAAATAAATTAAGAAGCCAGGGGCTCCTCCCTTCTAGTAATGAGCTCATAGTCGGGGGTCTGGCTGAGTGGTACTAACCGGTGTCTTCAGGTGGCCTCGGAACTTGTGACTAAGGTCGTCTCTCCAGGTAGTGATTTTTAGCGATTTTCCACTACACTTGGCCGAACCGCAGGAGACTGGGCTCGTCATTTCCAGCATTTTCAGTCCTTCGGGACAATTATCACAGCTTTTTAAAGAGTGTACATTGGCGAGACCCACGCCCCAACCCCTGCAGAAGAGGGAAAATTCCGATTAAGGGTCTTAAGGTCTTAAGAAGATCGGCCATAGTATGCCAGTGCCAAAAGAAAAAAAAGAAACATTAAGAAACCAGTGACATATCGCGTCGGCTGCTTGGGCCTACGACTCCACTGCAATAGCGTCGAAACTTAAGTGATACAAAACAAATTTCTGCGCGTGCGAAATGAAGCGCTTTAGATGGGGCTTCAGCTGTATCCTTTAGACTTCGTCTTCCAACGTAATGCATATATACCCTTACGACAGTCTATCCAGGCATACTAACTGCCCGCTGGTAAGCAAACATTTACGAGTCATGTGACGGGGCGCGTTTTCACCGGCCACGTGGAGCGCGTAAGCTTTAGTATTTCTTTGTCAATATCAAGAAATTAATATCTTACCGCTCGAAAGCTATTTTGTAATAAGTGCGATCATGCCTGTTTGAGAGTGCGAGTTTCTGAAGCGCTAAAGGCTGTCAATTATAAATAAAAAGATAAAAACCTCCCTTTTCGGTGAGGAGCCCATAGCCGGAGAGGCCTAGCAGGCAGCGGTGCTGGACGGAGTCTCTAGAAGGCTTCGGCTCTGTACCTGGAGCCGCACCGGTGGTGGTTTTATAAAAAAAGTAAAATAAATAAGATTTTCGTTCTTTTTGTTGATGGTGTGGCCCACTCAGTGCGCAGTTAAATAAGCTAGATTGCGTTTTAACTAATTTAACTAGTAGAGTCAATCTATCATGATTATTTTTATAAATGTATGTATATATGTTTACATTTATATTAACCTTTATAAACAATAAGATGTTTGGTCTTATTTGTTTGTTGCGTCTATTGAGTCTATAGGGCTGTAAAGAAATTTTAGCTTTATTGCCTAGAGGACAAGTTAAACATATTGTTTTGGTCTATAGGGCCGAACAGAGCGTTGCTAGTAACTGGCCATAGGATATTTATTAGGAGCTTAACGTCTAGAGGGCGCTTGCAATATTAAAGAGCCTAAAAGCTCAAAAGATTTTAAATACTTTTGTTTTGTGACGTTCTTTCAGTCCATAGAGGATAAGTTTAATTAACTTTTTACGTCTATAGGGCTGAACTTAGTGTTGCTGCTAACTGTATAGAGGTTAGTTTATTAAAGAGAGTTTAACCTCTAGATTACGTGTGCCTTCATAAAGCTTGATAGCTTTGAAAAGAAAAATTTAAGCAGACGGCGATTTTATATAAGCAAATAAACATAAGTTTATTTAAACTCCTCAAGGCAGATTATTGGTTATAGGCCACATTACCAAATCTGTTTGCCTCATCTAAGTCTTCTAAGAAGTAATTTCTTGTTTTATTCACCTTCATGCCATTATACAAATAGGGAACTCCATAAAAGTGCACCAATAATACCTCCTTGAGAGAAGGCGAGAAGAAAAAGAACGAGAGTTGGTGCTGACGTACTATTGTCTATATGCCTAGCATAACTTTATCGCTTAATCCTTATACTCTTAAACGAAACGGAGATAAAGAAAGAAAACAGTTCCCTTTGAACACCCGTTTTTTTTACAGTTTGCGTACCCGCTTTTGAGAGATCATAAGAAAATTATATTATAGCGAAATATATACACCTTTACGAACAAATATTTATAAATAAAATCTTCGGTTTATATATATATATTTTTTATATTTAAAATTAGATTACTTAAATAAACGTTTTATGTTGATTTCATTTAAAAGACAAGTTAAAGACAGTAATTGCCATATTCTTTCAATATTTTATTAAATTTATTTTTGAAAAACTGTTTAAACTTAAGTTTTTCTCTAAATATAGTACTTCATTATTTAGTTTATCTTTACATAATAAATTTTATGTAATTTATTTTACATTTTTACGTTGTTTGTGTCAAAATACAATTAATTTTGCTAAGAGTTTCACTTTTATATAGTATTTTGTTTTTTTAATACTGAATATCATTACCAGTAATCAAATAAAAATTGAGCGTATATGTTGTTATGTTATTAATTTAGTTTTTACTACCAACTCATCCTTTGTGGTACACAAATTTAACCCAAAAAAAACATGATTATGTAGCCGGGCGCCCTCTAAAAAATTTGTATATTCTTTAAAGGAAACTCTAAATTATAAAGCCATCTTCCCTTACAGTCACCTTTTTAGATATGAAAAGTATATAAAATCTATATTACAAAAAAAATTTATTACTTAACAAATATGCTTTCAACTAATAAATGGGCACACTTACCCTCCCGAATGTAAATAAAAGTGTTAACCTTAATATAAAGTTTAAAGTTTGGTAGCGCGACTTCGCTGATAAGCTTTATATACCCATTAGTAGTTTTTGACTAGATATTTCATTATAAAACGAGATTATTTTAACAAAAGCTCAGATATAACCAGTCTGACCATATTTTTTCACTCTTGTAAAATCTTCAAATTGATACCCTAACATATAATTGACTTCCCTTTATTAGTAGAAAAAAGTTGTTTAAAAAAGTTCTTATATAAGATTTGTTTTCTCCTAACCTTAGAACGATCAGGAATGTACAATTCCAAATATTAATAGCTCAGTTCTTAGAGTAATAAAGAAAGTTAATAAAGCTAATTTACCCAAGAGAAGTCTATAATAAAAGTCGACTTCTGTACTAGTTACGCTAAAACCTTCAATAACTATATAACTGTAAACTTTATAATAATAGTCACACTAAAATCTTCGTTTACTATATAATTATAAAGCGTAACAAAAAAATAGGTTGATTTTTTATGTCTTTACGTATTAAAGTTTGTAACTACAAAAAAAAGTATTAAATTTCTTCCTTTTCAGTAGCCATGTGTCTTACCTTTTTCCCTAATTGTTCTAGCCAATAAGGAGCTTCATATCTGTAAACTTTGAAAAACACGGAACGTTTTAGTTGCTAATTGGTGTAACGATTTTTATTGCTTTAGTAATTTTTGATAATAAATTTTCATGCTGTATTAATCCGCGCGTGTATGCAATAATAATAAAAGTTTTTAACTATATATTTAGAAATATGGGAGTTCCAGCTTTTTTTCGTTGGCTTTCAAGCAAATATAGTAAAATTATACAGCCAGCAATTGAGGTTTATCTGAAAATTTATAGTAAAAAATCTTTGCTAACTTTTTTGCTATTTAAAATACAGACTATTTCAATTTTAATATAATTTGGGATTTTTTTTTAATATTAGAAAAAACCTTCCCCACCTGGAGAAGAACCAATTGAAATTGATTTAACATCTAATCCAAATGGCGTAGAATATGATAATTTATATCTTGATATGAATGGCATTATTCATCCTTGTTGTCATCCTGAAGATCGGTTTAATGTTTTTATATACAATACTACTAATATTTTTATATAATTTATTTTTAATTTTTTTAAAAAGCTTATTTTATGGCTTACTAATAATATATAGACTTGTAGACCTTTGTTTAAAATTACTTAATTTGCTATATTTGTTATTTTTAGACCGCAACCAGAAACTGAAGATGAGATGATTGCCTTAATTTTCGAGTATATTGATAGAATTTTTTCTATAGTCCGCCCACGAAAGCTCATATATATGGCAATCGATGGCGTCGCACCGGTTGCTTTAAATTTTTTTTAATGTTTCTTTAGATTATATTTTTAAATTCTTAAAACTTAAACTTATCTGGACTTAATTATTTTTTAAATTTTTTTGGTTTTATTTCGTGAAATTTATAAAAATTTATAAATTCTTTTTAGAGAGCGAAAATGAATCAACAACGTTCTCGACGGTTTCGGGTCGCCCAGGAAGCTGCAGAAAAACTGAAAAAATTAGAGAAAATTAGAGAAGAACTTTTAGAAAGCGGCCAGAAACCGCCACCTTTAAAAGTAATGGTTTTAAAGGAAATTATACTTTTTAGGAATTATTTTTGTCAAAATTTAATGTTAAATAAGTAGAAATAAATATATCTGCAACAAATAAATAATAATCATAGTAAATAACAATTTTTTCTATCCTAAACCGGTTTTTAAAAACCCTTAAGAGCTTTAAAAACACGTATATTTAAAAAGTTTTTCAATTTTATTCATTTTCAATTAGTACTAAAAAAATTTTAATATAAATTTATTTTGTATTCATTATTTTACTTAATTTTTTTAACAATTTCTAATAAAAGCATTATAATAATACTTTAATTATTATAAAATTAAAAGTAGATAAAATTTTATCTTTTATTGATTTCTCTAGTAGTAAAAAATTTTAATTATAAATTTATTTTATAACAAAAAATATTTTTATTTAAATGTTTATTTTGGTTAACTTTTTAGTATTCTATAATAAAGCATTTTAAAAATAATTGAATTGTCATAAAATTAATTGTTAAAAAAAATATTATCATTTGTATTTTTAGCAGTAGAAAATTTCATAGATGCATTATTGTAAGTATTAATAAACATTTTTAAATAAATTTTATTTTGATAAAATTTTAAATTTAATTGTTTTTTTAAGCATTAAAAAATTTCACTTTTAAATTTTGTAATAGTCAAAAAAATATTTTTAATAAATGTATATTTCGATTAATTTTTTAATGTTATATATATATATTGAAGTTTTTAAAAAAAATTTATTTTTGATTTTTATCAGGAAATTTTGAAATAATATATTTTTTAAAGAAATTTATATACATAACATTGTCTTTTGGTTAACATATTATAAAATAAAACTATATTTATAATAATTTAGTCCTTCAAAAGTAAATGTAAGTATTATTTAAACTTAATTTTTTTAGCAATAAAAAATTTGCATCTTTATGATTTTGTACTTGTTCAGAAAATATTTTAATATAAAAAGAATATTCTTGTGAACTTTATAATATTATATATATTAAAAAAAAAAGCACCTTAATGTTAATTAAAATCTACTGTTAATTTTTTTTTTAAGTGTTAAATAATGTATGTTTTAATTTAAATGTATATTTCGGTTTACTTTATAATGTTATATAATATTTATCATAGTATTATTATTATTAAAATAAAGTAAAAAGAAATTTATATTTTTATAAATTTCTTTTAGCTGTAATTATTTTGAGTCATTAGTTTATTTTTTATTTAAAAAAATATTTTTTTGTGTATATCTTAATTTTGGTTAACATTTTACATTTATATAAAAAGTTATTTATAATAGTTTATTTATATTAAAATTAAATTTTTTAAATAAAAAATTATAATTTGATTTGAATTTTTTACGTAAAAAATAAAAATAAAAATTTATTACGTAATTGCAAAGAAAATATAACTTATATATATATATTTTAATTAACTTTATTATTTATATAATAAAAGCCTATTAATAAAGTATACTTATTATAAACTCTTTTTTAGAATTAAATTTTATTTAATTTTTTTAGTAGTAAAAGATTTAATTTGTAAATTTTTATTGTCATTGTAGACTAAAAAATTTATTATAAGAATATTTCGGGAAACTTTTATTATATAATAAAACCATTTTAATAGAATATTTATTTGAAATTAATTGTTTAAAAAATTTAATAGCTATAGCTTTAAAATTTTTGAATCAGAAATATTTTTTCTAAATACTAAAAAAAAATTATTTAAGTTAAATATTTATTGTAATTTACTTTCTTATATTTTATAATAAAAACATTTTAATAATAATTTAACCTTTTTATATTAATTTTTAAAGAAATTTATATTGAGTTAAATATTTATTTTTTATATAGCTTTTTTATATTTTATTAGGGGCATTTTAATAATAATTTTATTCCATTAGACTATTTGGTTAAATAACATTTTTTTTAGCAGTAAAAAATTTTAAATATAGATTTATTAAGTAAATGTTAAAGATAAATAATTTTATTTCTATATTTATTGTAGTTTTTACTTCCTCTTTAAGAAAAGCGTTGTTGTAATACTTTTTTTCCATTATTTTAATTGTTAAAATTTGAATTTTTTTAACAGTTAAAAATTTGAATTATAAATTTATTTCGTAATTTGAAAATATGATTGTAATTTATTTTTATGATAAAAGCATTTTAATAGTAATTATATATCTTTAGATTAATTGTTTAAGTAAATTTTATTTCCTTTTATAGCAGTAAAAGACGAATTTTTCATTTATTTTTGTAAAAATGTTAAAAATATATTTCTTAAATATTAATTGTAGTTTACTTTTAAATATTTTATAACAAAAGCATTTCAGTTATTTGTTAATTATAAAGTTAATTTAAAAAAATTCTCTATATTAATTTTTTTTTAGAAGTTAAAATTTTGAATATTTAATTTATTATGTAAGTGTTAAAGAAATTTTTTTCATATAAAATGATATTTTTATTAACTTATATAGAAATATCCTAATGAAGTTAATACAATATTAATTTATTTATTTTATAGTAAAACGAAATTAGATTTTTATTATTATACTTTTCAAAAGTAATTTTAATTTTTTTAAAGGATTTTATTTTTTTTAAAATTTTATTATTATAATTATATTTTATTACGAAGCCGTCGGAAAGTTTTTTTGATAGCAATTGCATCACTCCAGGAACTGAATTTATGTCTCGTTTATCAGTTTCTTTAAGGTTTTTCTTATTGTTAATTATTGTTTTTATTTGTATCGTTATTTTTATTATATAATTATATACCATCTATTATATATTTTATATTGTAATATATATTATTTATTATTTTTTATTTATTATCTATTATTAATTTATTCTTACTATTTAAAATTTACTTTATATTATTATTGAATATGTAATTGTTACTTTATTTATTATTTAGTATATATTATTATTTTATTATTAATTTTTTATCATCTATAATTTATTATTATATATTATATATTATATATTATATAATATATATTATATATTGTTATTATAATATTATTATTATATTTTTTATATATTTATTTTATATTATTACTTTATTATTATTAATATTTATTCATCATTTATTAATATTTTAAGATATTACGTTATCAACCGCTTAAATACGAGTCCTGCATGGAAAAATTTAAAAGTTTTTTTATCCGATGCGACTGTCCCTGGGGAAGGCGAGCATAAAATAACTGACTTCATTCGTCGACAGAGAGCCCACGTGACTTACGACCCCGCCACAACCCACCTTTTGTATGGGGCGGACGCCGATCTTATTATGCTTGGTGAGTTAATAACAATAAATAAAAGTATAAAAAAATAAGATATTGTAGATGATATGAATAAAAATGTATTATAAGAATAATTTTTATGAAGAATTATAATAATAATATTTAAAATTTTTTTAAAATACTTAATGGAAATAAAAACTAAAATATAATAAACGATTGTAATAAAAAAGTTTAACAAAAATAATATTTATGAAAATTTATTAATAAAACTTTAAAATTTATAGAAAATAATGATAATGATAAGGATAATAATAATAATAATAAACACTAAATTTAATAATATTAATAAATATGAAAGTAGTTATTAATATTAAAAAATATTCAACTATAATAATATCAATAATATCTAAGAATTATAGTAATAATAATTATTGTAATAATATTGATAATATGGATAACAGTTATTAAAATAATTATGATTTTGAATAATAATTAATATTGATAAGAATTAATATTATAAATATAAATTAAATATAATAATAATAGTTTCCATAAAAAATTTTTTTTTTACATCGAATTACTTTAAAAAAGTCATTAAGATATATTTACAGTAAAAAAAATAATGATATGAATAAATATTATATATCTTAATATTTGTATCTATAAATTAAATATAATTATAATTATAATTTTGAAAACAAATACTTTAAATAAAATATTATTTATCAATTATTAAAAAAAAGTTATTAAATAAGTATTTATAACTTTTAATAAAGATGATATAAATACTAATTTTGAAATAAAAATTTTCTAAATAATATTATTATAAATAATTCTGAATAATGAAAAAAATATATTTTTTATGAATTATTATGGAAAAATTTTTCATATATAAATTAATAAATTACAATATAAATAATGATATGAATAAAATTATATATTTTTATAAAATATCGTTATTGTAAATAAACTATAATAATAAATTAGCATGAAAATAATATACTAAAAAAAAGTATTAATAAAAAGTTATTAAATCCATTATTATTGGTAATAACTTTATATCAATAAAAATTTATACTGTATTTAGAAGTTATAAATTTTAACATATAATAGTATAAAGTCGTAAACACACGTGTTCTTTTACATAATTATAAAATGTTGAAAACAATTTATTATTATCGTTGCTACTGTTAGGCTTGGCCACTCACGAGGTCGTCTTCCACGTGCTTCGTGAAGAATTTACTCCCGCCAAAGCGCCTCCTTGTATTATATGCAATCGCATTGGTCACTGGCCCCAGTTCTGCCCTGGCGAGCTGCCGTTGGAAAACGAATCGGTGGCTACTTCCGAACCAGTCAGCACTACCAAATTTATATTTATAAAACTTGATGTTCTTCGTGAATATTTGGAACATGAATTATATATGGTTACTATTATTTATTTTATTATTATATTTATAAACATTGTAACTTTTATTTCTTTATTTTCTTATATTTAAATTATTATTATCATATAATTATAACTTTTACTTATTATTATTATAATTTTATGTTAAATGTAACGTTATACTTATTATATTTATTCTATTAATATTTTTAGTTTTTATATTTATTAAAAAACTGTAAACTTATTAATATTATATTTTAAATAATTATCTTTATTATAAAAACTGTAACGCTTCCATATTTATCCAATCGTTATACCAATTTACTTTCATTTGATATTTTTTGCTTTGTTTTTATAAAAATTTACCAATTTTTAAAATTATTTTGCCCCCTTTGGTAGCCTCATCTCCCATTCGGCTTCGATTTGGAAAGGGCGATTGATGATTGGATTTTCTTATGTTTTTTTGTTGGGAACGATTTTCTGCCTCATTTGCCCTCGTTGGAAATCCGTGAAGGCGCCATAGACCGCCTCGTGGAAGTTTATAAGACTAATTTGGTCTCTCTTGGCGGTTATGTCACCGAAAACGGTACCCATTTACCGCCCTTTTGTTTTTTTGTTGCTGTTTGTATTAAAATAGACACACATTCAATAATTTGAATCGATTTAAAGGATTATATGTATAATTAATTAATGTCACATGTTTTATAAATAAGCGTCGGTTGCGTGGCTATACAATTAAAAGGGCTTCAGTATTTTGTTTGTCACTTAAAAATTTATCGGCAGCAATAATAATTTCTTAAAATTAACTAATATTAAAAGTGTTAAATAATAATGGATAAACATTATAAATATTTTATATTGAAGTAATAATAATTATATAATTATAGTAATAATAGTTATAATAATTACAAGAACAACAATCATAATAAAATAAAAAATAATAGACAACAAATATTAAAACGCTATTAAATTTTACGTTTAATATATTAAACTTATAAAAATTATCATTAGTGGTAGTATGTATATTTAATAATAATTATAGTTTTATTAATAATAATAATAGTGAGTAATCATAATAATAATGGCTTTTTATAGGGTTTGTTAACTGTCACCGCGCCCAGAAACTCTTGCAGGATATTGGCGTTATGGAAGACGAAATTTTTGTGAAACGGAAAGAAGAAGAGGAGCGCAGAAAAAATAGAGAAGCGCGAAGGGAACAACTAATTCAGAGCAAAAAGAAAAATTATGAAGAAAAACTTATAGAGTTCGGCTTTTTACAGCGCGTTGGTTTTGAAAATTTTAAAAAGTCGAAAGTAATTTTTTTATTAATATTTAATAATACTTAACAATTACTATGTTGAAAAAGTTATTATTATAGAAAAAGTTTAAAGTAAAAAGGATATTAGAAATTATTGCAATAGAAAAAATTTTAAAGAAAAGATTTATTATAGAAAAAGTTTTAAAGTTATGGTATTTATAATAGAATTATAATCTTAAAAAATAAATAAAAAAATATAAGTAACTTTTAATATATTTACTTGAAGATTTTATTATTATTGTTATATAAATAATTTAGAATTGTTATTATTTATTAATACACAATAGCTTTATTTCTTTTTTTAATATTATTTTTAATATTCAAACAATAATATTATTATTTTCCTATTATATATATATATAAAAGATTAAAATATTAAAGTATATAAAAATCTGTTATTATTATAACTATTACTGTTTTTATTTTTATTATATTATTTATAATATTTATTAAAACATGATAAGTTTAGAAGTTAATGCATATGAATTTTATATAACATCATTATTATTATATAATTATTTTTAACTATTATTATTACATTTATTAATTATAAAATTATTCATGTTTAGTTATTATTTTTGTATATACTTGGCAAAAAGTTTAAACATGTAAAGTTTTTATATTATTATGTTTATTACTCGTTTTTTTATTTGTTTTATAATGGTTATTATGGAAACTATCACTGTCGTTAAATTTAGTAATAAATAAAAAAAAAAGTAAATATGATAAAATATAAAAATATTATAAATAAGTATGAAATTTTAAATATATAATAAAAAAATAAATTATTAGTATTATTAGTTATTATTGCTTTACTATAATAGTTTTTATTATCGTTATTATTATTTTTTCTAAAATTTTTTTGATATTATTTACTTTATCGCTTTTTTAATTATTATTATAACTTTTATTATTGGTCAATATAATTTTTTTACATAATACAGTTTTTCTATCGTTCTTATATACTTTTTATATTATTGCTTACTTTACAGTTTCTTTATTGGTTACTCTTATAATTTAATTTATTATTATTATTCTACTTTAACAAAGTTTTTCCTACCGTTTTTATTATTTTAATTTTTTATTATATTACTTTGCAGTTTTTATAATTATTAATATTATTATTCTTGCTTAATACAGTTTTTCTTTCGTTATTATTATTACATTTATTTTACTAATTATTAATTACTTTATTTTTTTTTAAAACATTAATTTATTTGAATATATTTTTTCTTTTGTTATTATTACTATACCTTTGTTTTATTATTTTGTTATTATTAATAATGAATAAATATAATGATAATAAATAATAAATATTAGTAATAATAAAATAATTTAACATAAATAAATAATAATACATAATAATGTAAAATAAATATTATTTTTATGAAAGTCTACTTTGGAAGTCACGAGAGCCATTCGGCGAGAAGAAGAAAAGGAGGCGCAACGACAGAAGGAATTAAACCAATCAAAGAAAAAAATCTCTCAAGAAAACAAAAGAGTGGCCGAAAAATTGAAAACATATTTAAAGGAGGAGTTGGCACGTGACACTCCAGGTTATTATTGGTCACTTAAATTTATTTTTTTGCTTGGTTTCTTTTTATATTTATTATTATTGTTTATTTACGTTATTATTATTATTATATATTAGTTAAGAAAAGACGGGCCGAAAATAATGATAATGAAGGTTTTAAACGCGTTAAACATGTTGAGAGTGAAAGTGATAATAATGACTCATCAGTATAAACTTTTTTATTAAATATTATTAAATTATATTAAATAAATAATAATAATAACTAATAAAAAAGTTTTATAAAAATCAAAAATATTAAAAATTTCAAAATAATAAATACCAAAAAAATATAAATTATTAATAACTAAATAAAACAAATTAATAGTAATTATAATTTAGTATTAAATTTATTTTTTATTTTTGATCCGATTTACTTTTCAATATATTTTTTATTTATATTTTTTAAGAAGTTTTACTTGCTTCACTTTTTGTCATTATTTATAAAAATTTATTTTTTTTTAAAATCTTTTTAATATAACTTTGTTATTATTTATTAATATTAAACTTTTTATTCTTTTTTTTATCTATTTATTTAATTTTGATTATTAATAATTCGTTATTACCTCTTTTTTTAATTTTTTTAACATTTTTTTATAATTTTTTAATAATTAAAAGATATTTAATATACGTGATTTATAAGAAATAGAATTCATATCCATAAAAAATATTTTAATATATTTATGAAGTTAATTATAATTATTCTTTTTGTAATAAATGAAATCATTATTAAAGTTATGAATTTTTGTAAAATTAATTATAGGTTTTATATAATTTTTTGTGAGAAAAAAATAATTACAAATATTAATATTTAATATAAATTATTAATAGAAAAGTTTTTTATGATTATATTGCAAGGAAATAAAAATTAAAATATAAATAAATATTTAAAATATTAAATAAAAAGTAAATAAATTTTTTATATAAAAATATTTAAATCATAAGAAATTTTATTAAACAAGTAATAAATAAGTGAAATTTTATAAAAAATTAATGAAATATTAAAGTGAGAAAGTAATAAAATTTAAAAAAAAATAAAAAATTATAAAGTAAATTATTTTTATTTGAAGTTATTGAATTATATAACTAATTACTATTCTTAACTAAAGTAACAAATAATAAAGTTATTAAAATTTATACATGAAGGAAGTAATAAATAAATAAATAAAAAATATAGAAACAGTAAAAAAAATAAATTTTATTAAAAAATTTATTATCAAAAATACTTTTTATATACAAATATTATTAAAGCAGTTAATGAGTATAAAAAAATAATAGAAATATTTATACAAAAAATAAACAAGATATAAAAGAAATTAAAATAATAATAAATATAATTTATTATATAAATATTAATAAGGCAGTTCATTAGTAAACTAATAATATAAATTATTTAAAAAATATTAATAATAGGAAATAAAATATTTTAAAAATAATAAGTATAACTTTTTATATATATAAAGTAGTTAATTAGTAAACGAATAATATAAATTTATAGAGGTATTAGAAAAGTAGTTACCAAGTAAACAAATAAAAAAAAAAAATTAGAAATATTAATTAATAATAAAAACTTTTTTCTATAAATTTTTTATTTTTAGATAAACGATGCTTCTGTTACCTTTGAACTTGAGGAAGTGGGAGAGCAAGAAGATGATATAAAATTATATGAAAAAGGATGGAAGGCGCGATATTATCAAAGTTTATATAATAATAATAATAATAATAATAATAATAATAATAATAATAATAATAATAATAATAATAATAATAATAATAATAATAATAATAATAATAATAATAATAATAATAATAATAATAATAATAATAATAATAATAATGGTATTAAATAATATTTCAAAATTATTTTTCAGATTTTTTTAAAGTCTTTAAGTTTTTTATTACTTTTATTTACTATTATTATATATTTAAAAGTTTATTTACTACTACTAATAATAATAGTGGTGACAAATAATCTTTTAAAATCTTTATATATGATATTTTTTGTTTTTATTATTTTTTACTTATTATTATTTATTGAAGTTTATTTACTCTTCATGTTTTTTACTAATAATCATAATCATAATAATAATTTTAAAAATATTTTAAAATTTATGTATTTAATATTTTCCTTAGTTTTTAAGTTTTTTTATAATTATTATTTTTTTTATAATTTATTTATTATTATGATTTATATAATTATTATATATTAAAGTTCAATTTTTTTCAATTCTATGAATTTTTTTTTAACTTTTATATATTTTTAATTAATATATTTTTTTTATTAATTTTATTAATATAGTAAAGTTTATTTATTTTATTACTTTTTTCAAAGTTATATTTATTTATTACTATCTTATTATTATATAAAATATTTATGTATTTATTATTTTTTATAATTTTTTATAAGTCTATATATTCATTATTTTTTTAATAACTAACTTTTATATATTTATTACTATTTATATTATTTATTTAAGTTTAATTATTATGTTTTATTATATTATTATTTTTTATTTATTAATATTATTACTTTTATATTATATTATTATTATATATTTAACTTTATTATTTTATTGTTATAGAAAAGTTTATTTATTTTATTATTATTACTTTCATAACTTTTATTTATTTAAAACTTTTATTAATATATTATTTATTAGTAAAATTAATTAATTAATTATTATTATTTAGATTTATAATTGTTTATAATAATTTACTATTTGTATTATCTTTATTATTATTAATAACTTTAATTTCTATTATTATGTATTAATATATATTCATTTATATTATATTTATTTATTATCATTATTTTAAGAGTAAATATTACCGACAAGAAGCTTTCATGATATTTATAATATAAAAAAAGTTTAGTATAAGAGCAAAAACGCTAACTTTTTAAGTATTATTATTTTTATTTTTATTAATATCCATAAATTAATTATAATATTCTTTAAAAAAATTATTAAAATAAAAGAAATATTATAAAAGACTATTTTAATAATACAAACTTAAATAATAAAAAATATATAAAATAAGTTTTATAATAATATTTTTAATTACTACTATTATTATGTAATATATATTATTTATGATCAATATTTATAAGGTGTTAGATATATATTATTGAAAAATTGTTATAAAAAGAATATTATAGTACAAATTTAAGTAAGAAGTATGTAAAAAAAAGTTTTATAATAATATTATCTACTATTATTACTATATATTATTTAATAATTATTTTTTTCAGGCAAATTTTCGGTGGACCTTACCGACCTTCAGTTTCGCACGTCATTGGTCCAATCGTATATGGAGGGTCTTTGTTGGGTGCTTTTGTATTACTATCAGGTTTGCTATTGGCTTGTCGTTAATTTTATTCCGCATTTTTTATGATTTTTTTATGATATTATTATATTTATTATTATTTTAACTATTTATTAGATTTATATATATATTCATTTTTTAATTATATTTATTATTATTTTAACTATTTATTAGATTTATATTTATTTTTTTATTTATAACATTTTTATATTATTATTATTTATTTTTATAATTGATATCTTTTATATTTACTGTCTATTATTTTTATATAATTTTATTATTTCTGTTATTTATTAATTTTATAAATTTTCAAGATTATTATTTTTTATTTTTATTTTATTTTATGTATTTTTATAATTTTTTTTTTTTCATATAGTTCTGTTCTTTTAATTATTTATTATATTTATAAATATACTACAAATTATATTATTAATTATCATTATTATATAATTTTTCATCTAACTTATATTATTTTTATTATTTTTATATATCTGTACTACGCTTATTTTTATTTTTATTATTTGCTATTTTAATATATTCTTTCTTGCTTAATAATTATCATATTATTATATTTATTTATTTCTACTATTTATTCTTTTTATTTATTACTCTCTTATTATATTGTGTATTTTATTATTTTATTATTTTTTTTATACTTTTTAGATTTTATTTTATTTTCTATTAATTTTTTATATTTTTTTTAATTTTGATTAGTATATTTTTTTTTCTTTGTTTTCATTTTTATTATTTATTATTACTTATATCGTTTTAGTTTATTTTATATTATATTATTTTGTTTATTTATAATTTACTTTATTATTATTTATATATATATTATATAATAATTATTAGTGATATTTATATTTATAGTAACGTTACTACTAATGTTTTATATTCTTTTTATGTATTACTTGTTTTTTCTTAATATCAATTACTATATGTGTTGTATTTTTTTCTTTTTCATTGTTAAATTTGAATTATTTATTATTATTGTAGTTTTTATTTTTGTTATTTATTATTACTATAATTTTTTTTTTTATATTTATTATTTTATAATTTATTGTTATTCGTTTTTTATATTAATTTTATTAAATATTATTTAATATTTTTTACTTTTCTTTTTATTAATAATAATTATTTCTTTAAGGTATTGCAAAAGTTATGCATAAATAATGTTATTATTATAATAATTTTTGAGTCTACAAATAAACTGTATTATTAAATTTTCTTATTATTTTTTAATATAGATTTATCTTTTCATTATTATTATTTAAAAACTTAATAATATTTTTAGCTTAATGTTATCTTTTATATTATCATTATTTTCTTTAATACCTTTGTGTTATTGTTATCATTGCTTATTTTATTATAATATTATAATTATTACTACATTACTCATTAATTCCCCACATTTTTTGTATATTTACTATTATTATTGCTCTTCTATTATTATTTCTTTGCTATTATCTATATAATAATTATTATAGTTATTTTTTATTAAATATTATTATCTTTAATAATCATAGTTATTATTTATTTATTATTATTATTTTTTAAGGGCTGCGCCTCGTGGGAATGGTACTTCCCTTACCACTACGCACCTTTTGCTTCTGATATTGGCGAGTGCACCCTCAAGCAAAAAGTTATTATTATTGTTATTATTAGTTTTATTACTATTATTAATATTTAATATATAAAAGGTCTATTTTTCTAAAAATACGCAACCTTTTAACGCTCTTGAGCAACTAATGGGCGTACTTCCTGCAAGTTCGGGCGTAAAATTTCTACCAAAAGTTATTATATTATTACTATTAATATATATTTATATTCTATTACTATTTTAATTATTATTATTATTCAAGTCATGGTCGGATCTTATGCTCAACCCTGATTCATCCATTATTGATTATTATCCAACAGAATTTCGAGTTGATATGAATGGGAAACGGTACGCGTGGATGGGTATTATTATTATTATTGTTATTATTATTGTTATTATTAATAATATGATAGGCGTTGCTATTCTTCCTTTTATTGAGCAGGAAAAGTTACTTAATGCGCTTAAGCCGGTTTATAATGATTTAACTGAAGAGCAGAGAGAAGTAAATTTTAATAATAATAACTATAATAATAATAATAATAATAATAATAATAATAATAATAATAATAATAATAATAATAATAATAATAATAATAATAATAATAATAATAATAATAATAATAATAATAATAATAATAGTAACTAAAGAATAATAGTAAAAAATTTATAATTATTATTATATTAAATTTCCATTAACCGATAATATTACAAACAATATAATTATAACTTTTAGAGAAACGAAAAGGGGCACGACTTTCTTTTTGTTGGACCCAAAAACTCATTTTATTCTTTTTTTTGTAAAATTTACGGGGAAAGCGATACAGATAAGGTGTGGTTTTATATAATTTGATAGTAATATAATAAATATAATATATACTTATAATTGCTTGTATTTATGTTTATAATAAATATTATATGTATTTATTATTTATATTTTTTAACTTTTTTATTTTTTTCTATTGTTTTTTATAATTAATAGTATATATTTCTTTATACTTACAATAAATTTTATATAGATTTATTTATATTTTTATTAACTTTCTAAATTTATTTATAATTGTAGTTATTATATATATATTCTATTTTTAATAGTTTTATAACTTTTTTTTATTTAAACATATCATATAAATATATTATATATATTCTATATTTTTAACAACTATTTAATTTATTAATATTTATTATAAAGTTATATATATTTATATAGATTAATATATATATTTATTAACATATCATTAGACTTATTTATATTTGTGATAAGATATATATTTATATATATTTTATATTTTTATTTTTTATTAAATTTATTATAAATTTTCTATATTTATTATATTTTTAATAACTTATCATTTATTTTTTGTAATTTTAGTAAATATTACGATATTTACATTGATACCTTTATATATTCATTAACTTTTTATATTTTTATTTATATTTATAACAATTTATATATATTTATGTTTATTAATTATTTTTTTATATTTTTATATGAAAGTGGTTTGACTCCGCTGAGTTGGCCAACTCTTATGGATTTTTTGGTTTGTTATGTGAAATATTATTAACTTTATTATTTTTTTTTTTTGCTTTTCACTATTATTATACTTAAAAAAATTGTATATGATTAATGATGATAATATATTAAAATTTTTTGAAAATTTAATATAAAATTCCAAACAATTTTCAATAATTGTAAAGAATTTTTTGCACAGGAACTTTTTCGAAAGACCCACTTGTATGCCTTCCTGGAAGCACGTGCTCTTCTGTCCTTAACTTACCAGCATACCCTGATATCCCTCATAATCAGGTTATTAGGTACTTAATCATCGTGCCTTTTTTTTAATTAACTCCAGTGGACAATATAATGAATATTATTAATACTTATTTGTCCCCCAACAGTGTTCGTTACAAGTTTCCTACATTTGGAGAATCCCATATTTTTGAATCGAAACTATTGAAAAACGCCGTTACACCTTCACGTGTTGTGTCACGCGAGGATTTTGAAATTTCCCAATCAGGAGGTTTTTAATCAATTGCCTTTTGTTGGATTGTTTTTTATTGGAGTTTATTATTTTTTACTACGGCATTACTTACAATTAATACCAGTTTTTTTTTTATTGAGCCTTTATAGTGTCGCCCTTTTTTAATCAATATTTTTTTTAAGCATTCATTGCTGGGAACATTTAAATTACATTATTATTATTATTATTATTATTATTATTATTATTATTATTATTATTATTATTATTATTATTATTATTATTATTATTATTATTATTATTATTATTTCTATTTATTTTTTTTGCGGATTATAAATGGCTTATTTTTTTCTAACTATTATTTAGTGAATAATGCCTTTATATTATTATAATCAAATTTTTAATTTTATATATACATATTATATTTGTTATAATTTTTATTAATATTTTATCTATTATTTATTTTTTGGTATTAACATAAGTAATACTTTGCAATTTTTTTTGACTGATCTATTTTATCATTAAAATTTATGAATGTTATTTATTAATTATTATATATATCGTTATTTATATTTGATTCATTATTCATTTTTGAGCATACATATACTATTCAATTTTTTTTATGACTAAATTTTTAAAATTTAATGAATTTTTTATTTAGTATTTTTTATTTTTAAATTTTTAAATTTGTGTATTAAGTATTTATTATTTTCATTATTTTTATATTAATATTATACTTACAATAATTAATAATTCATCTTTTTATGAATTTTTGTTATTTCACTATTTTAGTTTTTTATATAAAATAATAATTTTTATTATTTATTAATAATGAATAACTTATTTTTTTATTAATGTTATTAATATTATTAATATTACTATTTTATATATTAATACTTATTATTTATTATTATTTTTTTTTGGTTTTAATTTATTGTCAAAAAAAAAATAAAAGTCTTTATCATGATAATTATTATAATAATAATTATTACTAATATTACTTTCAATATATAAAGAATTCTTTTACTTTTTCTCGTCGTAATTATTATTATTATTAAATGTTTATTCTTATTATATTTACAAAAAATTTTAATTAAAATAATATAATTGTTGTTCTTTAAAAAATATATTTATTATTATAATTATAAGTAAAAAAGTTTATTTATTTACTATTATAAAAGGAATTGGAATAAGAAGAAGAGGAAAACCTCCTCAAACTCCAGCAAAAAGAATGATTCAGTTATTATTATTATTAAAGCTTTTATTAAATATACTTTTATTTTACCATTCTTTATAAGTAATACAATTTTTATATCTAACGCGTTTTATAATAATATTACCCTTTTTTAAAGTTAGATATTATAGATAATGAATTGTAAAAGTTTATAGGAAGAAAATATATAATATTTAATATTTAATTAATAAGGATAATAAAAAGTAAAAATGACTTTTTTTATATGAATAATTTTTTATAAATTTATAAAATAATAATGAAAAAAAATGCAAAACTACAGATTTTTTTATAAAAAATGTTTTATGATAAGTGACCAATCCATTTTTATATTTAAAAAAATAACTAATTAGACACGGTCTGGGAAGAGCAAGCCAATCCTTTAATCGTCCGCATCCGCCAATTATACGTACAACAATATTTTTTATTTTTCGAAGAAAAAATTCTTTATAATTATGACATAATTTATATATATACACACATTCATTATTTTTTATATATTAAATAACTATAAAAAATTATATTTAATGATAACTAATAATACTTATTGTCTATAAATATAATAATTATGATTATAAATAAAGTAATAATAATATAAAAACTAAAATATATTATATTTATATACTATATTTAGAATATTTATTAGAGTATGTTTTAATAATAATTTTATATAAAGTTAATAGTTTTTATATGAATAATACAAAAAGTTTATGAGAATTTAAATAAAATAAAAATTATTATTTATTATTTTTATATAAAGAAGATTTGTTTATTAAATAATAATAATATTTGTATTAATAGAAAGTTTATTAATAATTAAGAAAGAAAGTTAACTTTTATTATTAATTCCTTATAAACAAGTATGAGTTGTTGTTTTATTATATTAATTATTTAAAGAAAATTTTTATTATTATTATATAATGTCTTAGTAATTTTTGTTGTTAATTGTTAGAAAATGTAAATTTTTTATACATTTTAAGAAAATCATTTAAAACTTATAAGTTTTTATTGTTATTATAAAATGATTTGCTTACGAAATGTTATAGTAAATATTTAAAGGTTATAAATAAATAAGATTATTAATAAATACTCACAAAAGTAATTATGTAAAGAAGATTTTTTTATGTTATAAAGATAACAAGTTTCCATAAATGTTCAAGTCTATTTATTGATAGAAATTTTTTAAATGTATAAAAAATTTTACAAAAGCCATTATTATTATATTTAGATTTTCTTATTATACAATATTAATAATAAGTTTTAGTAATTGAAGAAATTTTATTAATATTAGTAGTTAATCTTGTCTCGATCATTATTATTAATAATTATTATTTTTATCATTATCACAATTGTTATTTTAAAATAAATTACAATATATTAAGAGAAACATTAAGTTTTCATTTAAGTAATGCAGCTTAGTATTATTAGAATATAATTAGTTATTTATTTTAGAAAGTTTTTAATAATAGTTATAGTCTCGATAATTGGTACTTTTAATTATAATACTAATAATTATAAACTTATAAAAATAAAAGTTTATTATAAGCAGTAAAATATTATTATTTTTATTATATAATATCTAATTATTACAGAGTGTAATAATTATTAAGAGGGATGATGGTTTATAATAATTGTTATAATAATCATATTATCCATCCAATTTATTATTTACAATAATAATTAGTAACAAAGCATTTATATATATATATTAAAAAACTTTTTTTTTTATAGTTAAAGAAGCTTTTAATAGTTATAATAATAATAATTATAAAAGATGGGAACAAAGATTTTTTTATTAATGTATTAACCAATCATTCTTTGGTATTATTACTATTATTACTATTTATTTAAATTTTATTAGCATTTCGTCCGCATTCTCCTTCGGTTCCTCCGTTTTCATGGGATTATTGTTATTATTATATTTTTAATATTTATTATTATTAATAATTATTTATTATTTGATATAATATTACATTTATTTGTTTAATTTTTTTTATTAGTATATTATAAATTTTATTATACTTATTAAATTATTTATCTATTATTATTAACTATTATTTACTATTTATTATAATATTTTTATTTATTTATTTTTAAAAATTATTTGTTATTATATATTTTTCTTTAATATTTATATATTGTTATTAACTATTTTTTATTATTATTTTCTTATATCATATTATTTTCATTTATTTATTTCTAGTAATTATTATTATAAATTATTGTTATTATATATATTTTTATTTATTATAACTTTTCATTTATTTATTAATATGTTATTGTGATACTATATATTTAAATATTTAGTATATACTATTATTTTTTATTTATTATTACTATTAATTAATATTTATAGTTGATAATAATATTTTTACTTTTTTATTTATTATTCTTGTTAATTAATATTTTACTATTTATTATATTATTATTTCTATTTAATCAGTTTTTTTATTTATTAGTATAATTAATTCTTATTTTATACAAATTATTGTTACTCTTTATTGAAGTTATTGTTAAAGCTTGTTTTCATTGTATTTTTCTTATTTTTTTATTATATATTTATTTATTTATTTATTATTATAAATATTTACTTTTTATGTTTACTTATTATCTATTATATTATATATAATTATTATTTTCAGGCCCGCCCACTTCTTTTGCTTATAATTCTTATAATAATATGAATGCCTTTTCCATGAAAACTCCTCAGTTATACTACAGCACCCCCAAACCTTTTCGTTCTGCTAATAATAATAATAATAATATTAGTAATTATAATAATAACAATTATAATAATAATAAAAACTTTTATCATAGTAATACGAACACCTCAAAAAGTTATAACAATTCCACAGAATTTTTTCCCAACCGAACTTTTTATGCCGATCGCCATTTTACTGAAATGAATGAACGTGAGGAACATTCACGCAACAATTTTAACGACACCTTTCCCAACAAAACTTTTTATAGTCTAAAAGGAAATGAAAGAAGTTCTTATAACTTCCCTGAAGGAAGTCATAATAATACTAATTATAATAATAATAACAGAATAAATAAAAAATATAAGCAAAATTTATATAGAAAAGAAGAGCTAGAAAGGAGGCGTGGCTATTAAGTTGTTATCATATAATAGTAATAATAAAAGTTATATTAGTTTTAGGATTATTATAATGTTTAATTAATATATATAATGGAAAACATCTATATTTATATATATATAATAATATAAAGCTATTTTGGTTTTAGTATTATTATTTTAACCAAATATATATATTGGAAGTCTTGTATATTATTCATATATATATTAATAATGATAATAATGAAACCTTTAATAATTTTATAAACTGTAGAATTAATATTTAATACGGGCTATTATCTATAATACAATCATAATAACTTTTTGGAAATGTTACGGCGAGTTTTATATACTTCTTTGGAAACCTTAAAAAACTTCATAAAACTATGGAAATAAAATTAATTTTTGGCTCTTTCTATAAATTATAATAAAAAACTTTAATACTGCATAAAATAAAAAATAAAAATATAATTCAGATATTGAGGCATTAAAAAACTTATAAAACTTCATAAAACTAAAGAAATAAAAATAATAGCCGTACTTTATCTATAAAGTTATAATAAAAACAGTCTATAAAAACAAGAAATGAAAGAAGAATTTTATTAAAAAAAACTTTTAATCTTCTTAAAACAAAAACTAAAAATATATTACAGAACTTCAGACGTAAGTTTCGTTAAAAAAAACTTTAAAAACTTTTTAAAACTAAAGAAATAAATTAATTATAGCACTTTACGTTACAATTATAATAATAATAAAAAAACTCAATATTTCATAAACTAAAAACTTAAAAAACTTCATCTTTTTTTTTGGTTTAAAAAGGCTTTTTAAGATTAATTTAGTACAAAAAAATATTAAGGTAAAAATAATAACAAAACTGAATCTTCTAAAAACTAACACATGATATATGTTATTATAATAGAATATTTTAAGAAAAAACTTTTTTTAATTTGTAAAACAAAAGATAAAAAAAAATACGCTCTTCTTAAGTAATACCATTAGAAAAATGAAGAAATTTTTTAAAACTTTCACAGAACTTTTCATGCACTTTGCACTTCCGACGGAGTCTTAATAGTTTTTAGCTGGTTATTCTCTGAATCTTTTACTTTTTGCATTACAAATACAAATTTGCAGTTTTACAACTACAGAGAAATGAATAATAACACATATATAAGGGCCGTTAACAAGCTAACAATGTTATTTTTTAAATTCATAACAGTATTTAGCTACTTTTTAAACTTACACACTATATTATAAAACGTTACTTTTTGCTTTATTATAATTTCAAAATATTTTTACACCACAGAGAAATATATAAGAAATATATAAGTGGTTTAAGAAATATATAAGTAGTTTACCAGCTACGCTAACAACGTTATATATGTTAAATTCTTTACAGTTTTTAGCTATTAATATAAACTTATACACTTTATACCAACGATGACGTCGTTATTTATATATATAGTACGCTAGTAAAAATTTCTAAACTTCTAATATCGTCCACTACCTTTAAAAATATCTTTATAAATAAGTAATTGGATTTAAAAAGCTTTTAAAACTGCCGTACACAATTCTGTGTATATAAAATATAGTGTGTAAGCCAATATCGCTAAATTAAAAGTGGTGTAAAGCAAGTTTTATAAAATTCTGTTACACTCTTTTTATTAAAAACATTATAAAAGCGCTACACTAACTTTTTTTATAAAAGTTCATTTTTTAATATACGCTCATAACGTTTATATATATAAAAAAGTAGGAAAAACACAATATATATTTATTAATATTAAAATTTTCAACACTTTATAAGCTGTTTATATTTAAAGTTATCGAGCGCTTCAATAATCTTTTCAAACGTTATTTCTTCATATTTATAAACAGGAAGGGAAGAAGAACTTGATGAATTCACAATAGAAAATGGTCCCTGCGAAGTGCGTATAATAGTGGTCGCTGTGGCTGCAGAGTTGACTTTCCTGCCGATATCCCGAACGAGACTACGCACGTACGTCCCTGCACCGCACGTGACTGCCAATGTAAAGCTTTTATGGTCCACGTGGCTCTCATACTTTGTTAAGACTATATCGTAAATGATAACTTTGCGTACTTTGGCTTCCACGTGCTCTCCGGAGCGCACACGGTCTGCTGAAGTTTTGCCGTTTATTTTTAAGCTCGAGTAGCTATTAAAAACGGTTTTTTTTTTATTAAATGAGTATATACTATGCCATTATAAAATATATTTTTCAAGTATATATATATTAGCTTTATGGCTTATATTTATAGTAAAATTTAGGAAAGGGTGCTTGTTTGATATAACAAGGTTATTAAATATAGCCAGCGCGTATTATACGCCCCTTGAAAAACTTTCTATTATAAAGATATTATAAGCTACTTTTTTCTAATTAAATTTTCATTGGTTAAAAAGTTCGTAAAGGTATAATCACGTGGGTAGATAGTAATTCTAATTATAATAAAAATTATTTTATATATACCAAATATTTTTTAAGCAGAGGAAAATTAAAATGGCTTACTACCAAATTCGCCTAACTGCAAACCAATCATATTAAATTAAAATAGTGTTGCACCAATAAAGTATGAGCTTCTAAAACCCCCCTCTCACCAAACTTTATCATTATTAATGGATGGCTTCTCAGGGTTAACCAATCCATTCTCTATGTAGCGATTATCCAAAAATTATAGTTTTACATAAACTGTAAATGATTGATCAGTAATAAGGGAGTGGAAATTAAGCAGTATAAAAAATGATAAAAAATAAACCAATAGAAAAACTCACATGGGCGCTTCCTGCTCAGTTTCACCAATAAATAAAGGCAAAACAGAATTAATTAAAGATTCATCCACGTGGTCTGAAGTGTTTCAAAATAATATTAACAAAATAATAATATCGCAGTGAACGAATAATTATAATTTTATACATAAATGACGAATGCTAGAAAAGAGTCAATAGCAGGGGCAAGCTTTTTAAATTAATTTAAATGGCGTTTCATTTATATAATCAATCTGAGCATAATAAACGGTGTACCAGGTTTTTGCTTTTCAATCATCTTCTTTCTAGTGTTCGACTGATTACAAGATAATTATAATTTATTCACGACATACTGTAACAAAATAATTCGTATATCCAATCATTCGAGATGTACTCAACTGGCTACAAATTAAGTTTTACATCGTAATTTTCAGTTATAAATTTTTTCTTTAGTAAAGCCACATTAAAAAAATTTCTAAACTTATATTATTAAATTTTCACGTACTTTTTATAAAAATCTTAAAAAAATACAAAACAATAAAAAAAAAACAATCATTGGTTAAATATAATATCCTCGCGCGCTTGCTAAATTAATTCTTCTCTTAATTGGCTCATTTATAAAATAAAAATTAACATGTAAAGCAGCGCACCGCTTCTTGAAATAAGCAAGTGTGATAATAAGTTAAAATAAATATAAATAATAAAATATAACAAAAGTTATTACAAGTATTATATAAAGAAATAATGAATATAGTCATATGGGAAAACCATCATCAGCAGTTCTTATAATATTCCCTCCTAAATCAAGAGTATCAGTTTCCAAGCCCAACTTACCTACAACTTCATAACTCTAATAATAATAAAAATAATAATTAGAATAATAATAGAAATTATAATTCAAATGATAACAAGATAACTACTATAGCAAGTAATAATAATATTTACTAATAAAAAAATACTATTTATAAAAAGTTTCATAACAGCAGAAATAGCCTTAATTATCGAACGATTAGCAAAAAATTTATATTAAGTTTATGTTAAATATAACGTAATGTAATGAAATAATCAGTATTTTTTGTAAATATAAAGTGAATTCACTTCAAAAATTTATTAAGTAAACTTTATAACAAACAACAGCAAAAAGAGTTAAAAAATTAAATTTAAAAATTAGTTATAAAAGATTTTAAAATATTAAGTACAAAGCGCAGTTCAAAAAAAATAAAAGTATTTTGAATAAAAATTATAAAATTATAAAAAAAATTTTTTTAGATTATTATAAAACGATATTGCTGGGTTTAATAAAATTATAAATATGAAAAAATTAAAAATATAAAATATAATTTTACGAAACTTTTGGGCCTTTTAGTAGATCGTTGAGAAAACGACACCCTTGATTAATGCCAATTACAAGAACTCCTTCCGCTAATTTATCCAAAGTTCCTCCGTGGCCAACTTTGCACTTTTTATAATCTCCACCTTGAAATCAACAAATGATTTTAATTATAATTAAAAGAAAATTTAATTCGCTTTTTATAATAATATAACTTTAAAAGTAAAACAAACATATGCTTTTTACTCATAAAAGTAAACCCCATAAGTACTAACTTTTTTTAAAATAAAATTCTCGTTATAAAATAACACCACTTTAAAAGCTTTAATAAACTTTAATAAAAAACTTAATTCAACTTAATTCTTATTACTTTAGATAACTACTAAGAAATAATAGTAATTTCTATAATATACAACTACAACTTACTTTTATTAGTTTTAAAAAAAGGATTAACAGTAGATAATCTTTTTTCTTAATTATTAATATAAATCAAAACTCCCTTAAACACATTTAAATCATTTCTAAAAATATAAAAAAACTTACTTTTATTACTCTAAAGAAAATAGTTAATAAAAAATTAAGTATAATTTTATTTCAAATTATATATATTTATATATATATTTAACCACTACTAATGAAAAGATGAGTAACTAACGTTTATAAAACAATAACTATAACTTATTTTATAATTACTTTTAAAATAATAACTAATTAAACTAAAAAACTTAAGTATTTACCTAAAATCACAACTTAACTGCTTATTTAAAAAAAAATAGGTAAAACCTTTTTTGTTTGAAAATTTTTTTATATATTTACAACTACTAAAAAATCTTATAATTAATTTTGTTAACTATTTAAAAAAATAACTACAAATTTAAAAATATTAATTCACTACCCAAGTTAAAAAGTTTTCCAATCCTTAAAAGATTTATCTTAAAATATATAACTATTTAAAATAACTAATAATGCACTACAAAAATTTTTATTTTTGGTAGGAGATACCGTTTTTTAAAATAATTTTCTTTATATTATTTAAAATTTCTGAACAAAGTAGTCCTTTTGGTTTGTAAAGAGCTAATATGCCACTGTAAGAAAAGCCTTTACTGCAAAGCATTAAGTCTTTATTAAATATTATATTATATTAAAATAAATGGGAAATTCCATTAAACTATTAATAATACAAACTTTTTAGGTAATTTTAAGTTAAGAAGAAAGCAGAAGCTTTCCACGTGTTATTACTTTTACTCGCTTCCAGTCAAATATTTAAATGTTGGAGGCTTCCTCTCTTCCACTGCTGGGATTTATCTAAGATGTTAAATTATTTACCACGCCAGAGACACACTCCAACGCTCTTTCTTAGAGCTCTGCCTTTCCTTTGTTTTCAGGCTTAAAGGGCTTTTAAAAGATCTAAATTTTAAAAAAACATTTGTAATTAAAAATAGGCAGTTTTTAATATATAGGATCGGCTCTAAGATTTTTACTATTTTATTGAGTTTTTTATCTAAGCAGGAAATTTTAATAATATTTTTTATTTTAATTTTCTCACCTCAGAATTTACTCTATTTAAAGAATTTAGCTTGTACTAAGGTAAACAGTTTTAAATTTTAATTTTAAAAAAAATTTTCTTATAATTTTATTTGAATATCTAGCATCGGGCTATCTTGACTATGGCTCTATGGTACCTTTTTTAATATGGTTATTATATTTAACTTTGGAGGGGCTCGGAGTCTTTAAATGAAGCTTTTTTATAAAAATTTTTTTTACTTGCAAGATTTAATTTTAAATTACGTTGTTTTTTTAAAGTTTTTGTTATGATTTTTTTAATTACTAATAATTGTATATATATCACCTTTCCCTTTATTTTGTTTAGGCTTTTTTAAAAGGCCTTACTATTTTAAGATTATTCTTTGCTGTAAACTTAGTAGGCAGAAGTTTTTGTTTTTAGGATTAGTGTTTATAAAATATAACAGGTGTAAACATTGCGCACAGATTTTTTTATTTTGAACCTTTTTTAACAGTTTAATATTAATTAAATTTTTTTAAACGAATTAATTTTTGTTAAAGAACTTTGTTGCTTATATTAGAGAATTAAGTAACTAATAAGCCCTACTCGATACAAAAAGATTACTTGTAAAGCTATATAACATTCAGAGTGGATCTATTAAGGGTAGTGCATATAAAAAATTACAATTAAAAGCACATCGCATTCTGATAAATAATAAAATATAAAATTAAGTAGGTTGTTTGGTTTTACTTGATATACATATCTGAATTGTATTCTATTTAAAGTCAAATTATTGTAAGTTTTTATGTAACAACGTGTAAACTCAAATAGATTTAAAATTTAAAGGGATCTGGCAATATCCTAAGGCCTGAACTACTATTATATGTATTAATTAATTAAGTCTTAGAACTATAAATTAGGTTATAAATAATGCGATAAAGCAAGTAATATTCTGCACAGAATAGTGCCCCCTCATTTACCACCTGACTCATCATGCGCCTTTATACGGTTTGCACCCCCTATAAGTGCAATAAATTAACCATCGAGTCCTCAATATCGTCGAGCTGTTTTTTGGCTTATACTAGTTAATTTGGGCTTGTTTCTTATCTTTTTTATTTATTTAATTTTAGAAGTCTTAAACCCCGAAAATTATAAGTAATATAGATTACGTATACCATAGACTAAGATATTATAATATAAAGTTTATATAGACAAAAAATGGTAATAATTTATTTCATATATTCATAGACTTTTGATGAGCACCACACGTAGAAGCGGAAAAATCACAAATTGGAGGAAAAACAACGGTATGCGCGAGTTATTCCACAACAATTTGCCCTCTAGGGTTTTGCCTTCCAGTAACCGATTATATAAAAACATTTTTAAAATAAATAAAATTTATTTCGTAGTTTTTCCTAGCACTTTTCCATACTTAAAATTTCGAATTTTAAGTAAATATGCTTATTACCTGATACTTTACGGACCTTTATTAGTGTGTTAGTAGACTATTTAATGTATCAATTAATATTTTAAACTTTTGTTTTATATTATTACACCTTTTTATTGGAGTGCCTTTACTATTATATCAATTATTAAGTTAACCTCAAAATGTCCGATTACTCACAATTATTTACCATACAATTTCCTAGCAGTCGTTAGATATTATCTATAATAATTTCAAAGATGCTTCTTTTCAGATTTCTTGTATTTTTATAACCCCTATTTTGCAACGTTAAGGTGTGGTCATTATATTCTTTCAAACCGTATATATAAAATAGTCAAGTTAGATGCGAAATAAACGTGAAACTCCAGCATTAATTTAACGATTTACTATAAATAACCGGAAATTTTACGTTTTTGTAAGCGCTATTGTCTTATATCCGCAAAATACAAATTAAAAAGGTCCATAGAACAACAACGAATTTACTTTAATCATGCATAAAGAGAAGCCCCCTTGTTCAACTTTTTATTATAAATTACATGCCCACTTGTTTAAGAAAACGAGGGGCTAGTGAGAACAAGAGCAAGCGTGCGTATAGAATAAAATAACTTAAACTAGTTTATGATGAAGTGTGCAGTATTTCATAAAATTAATGTAGGTAGTGAATAATTGTATATACATAAATTTGATGTAGGACGGAACTGACCTCTGTCCAGCGTTAATTCTCACGCAGACTTTTTTATTTATAAAAAAGTTTATATATGCATAATGAATATTAGTTTTTTTTAGAAATACCCTTGTGCATATAATTAGAGCCAAAAAAGTTGTCTAAGTACTTTAACTTTAAAACGTATTCGATTTTAATAAGCACACTGATTGGCTAATAAAAACACGTAGAAAAATATAAATAGTCGGAAACCCATTAAATTTGCTTGTATTGGTTACTGAACTTTAGTAGAGATACAACTACGTCAGTAGTTCTTAAAGAGTTCATCTCTAATGAAGAAGCGTTATTTAGAATGTAACTTAGTTTATCATTATATTCCACTTGGTATATCGACGTATAAATTTTATAAGATTAACTCTACTAAGATAAATTTGCAAAATCTGTGTTAGATAAAAAAGGATAAACAGAAACCTATAGTAATAGTTTAGTATTAAGTGATTTATTTTAGAAAGAACTTAATGTTAATCGTTACCTTTATTATAATTACTGTGCTAAAATTAATTATTCATGAATAGTGAAGTGAGTATATGACGGGTGTAGTCATAATAAACTAATTGGCTATTATTAATTTGCTTTCCTTTATATAAGTGACCTTATTTTAAACTTAACCTCGTAAACCTAAAATCTCTTGTTTATAAGGTTAACAGTTAATGTTAGGGGCTTCTTAACTTTTCTTATAGTATATCGACATATTGAATGGCGCTATTGGATTATTAACAATGCATTTTCACGGCAAACTTAGATAAATTTTTTTTAATTGCAACCTAAAGTTTTTTAAATAAATGTGTTACTGTTAAGAGAAGTACAAACGCCAATAATAGAAGTTAATTATAAAGATAATTATAATTAAATTAGCCCTATTAGTATATAAGTTTTATTGTTTATTATTATATTATAATACAAAATTTTAAATTTATATAAATCTGAAATATTTTTTGCAAAATGGACGTTTAGTAATAAATTCAACTATACCACTACAACGGTGTATTAAAAAAAATATAACTGAATACTTTCCTTTAGAAACTTATAAAAGAATCATTTTAAGCACAAATAGTAACATTTGGGTTTTAAAAATTCATTAGCGTTTTCGTAACCTTGTCGTGAAGAGCTTTTCAGTCTTTTTCACTTTTAGTTATGACGTCAGATTTTCAGTTATCGGTTTAATTACATTATAAATTTTAAAATTTTTAAAAAGGAAGAAAAACTGGAGAAAAATATATTTTACTATTTTATGGCTTTAATTGTTAGTAGCTCTTTGCGTGTGTTGGCTTTGTAATATGCTTCTCGTTTCTTAATTTAGTAATTTATTTATCGTTTTTGTTATTATTTCTACCAAGTTTTATTTTTTAAAAAACCTTTCGGCGGATTAACCATAGAAAACTTATTTATATATGTATATTTTTTTACTTTTTTATTATTTTTGTAGCTAAAGAAAATTTTATAGCGTTTATTGAGTAAGCAACAATGGCCATACGTATGCTCAGAGCTGAAATGGAGAAGCTAATGGGAACTGGTTTTACAATTTTTATTAATATAATTAATATTATAACTATTTTTATTATTATTTTTGATTAAAAAATACTATAAAGGAGGTAAAAAACTAAAATTTACTTATATTTATACGTTATCCTTCAAAAAAAGGTTATAATGGAGGAAAAAAACTAAAATTTACTGATCCCGAAGTTTGCAAAAACTTTTTGTGTGGTCTTTGTGCTTGTGATATGTTTGACAATACTGTAAAGCATATATTTAATTATAAGAATTTTATAATTTTATTTTATTCTATTAAAAAAAATAGAAATTCGAAACACCAAAGTGTACCAAAGTTCATAATGATGAACTAAAAGCTAATTTCGAAGAGGCCGTTGCTAGAGGTGAAGTTAATATCTTTTGATTAACTAGATATTATTTTTTTACATTTTTATTACACATTCAGGTGAGAAGTATGACTTTCAAAAGGATTTTTATTATTATCTTGAAGGTTTAGTAAAAGAATGCGAACAGTATAAGAGGAGCCAGTTAAGAAAAGTAGAGGAAACGAATGCTGGTAATAAAAATTTTGAATTTTTTTTTTAATAATTTTAGTAGTAGATATGAATTTACTTTAGAAAAAAAATGTTTATATAATTTAGATTTATTTATAATTTTCACTTTTTATAAAAATTTAAATATAGAAAAAGTTTTCTATTAATTTAAAGGATATACTTAATAATTTTTTTTACTTTTTGATTAATATTAAATTTGAATATTTTTATTACATACATTTTAAAATTATTTTTATAAATATATTTTATTTATTCTTAATATTTAAATTTATTATTATTATATACATTTTAAATTAGTTTTTTTTATAAATTAATAGAAAAAAATATTTATTAAAATTTTTAACTTTATATATATCGGAAGAGTTCAAGTTAACCCTGAATATTATAAGAAAATGATTTTTTAGCTTTTTATTATTTTTTAATATGGCATATATGAAAATATTAAAACAATAAATTTCTACACTTTTTATTTAATTTAAAATTTTATTTTTTTATTATAAACAATGAATAAAGGTAATATATAATGATTTTATATATTAAATAATTTTTATTTTTATTTTTAATTTCTATTTATTATAGTAATTGTGTAGCGGACTTAAAATTTTAATTATTATTATTAATAAATAATTTATTACTTTTTTACTTATTACTATTGTTATTATTATTTATAGTAAATATGTTATAGGTTTACATATTGATATATTAATACTAATTATAATATTTTATTTTTTTATTTTATAACTTTATTTAGTAACATAGGAATAATTTAACTTATTAATATTATATGTAGTAAATAATTTATTAATATGTTTACTTATTATTATAATATTAATAGCATTTAAGCTACGACAATACTTTATTTATTTTTTTACTTATTATTTGCAGTAGATATGTTATTTACATGTTTACTTATTAATATAATAATATTTTGTTTTTCAATTATATTTTATTTATTTGCTTATTATTGCTATTCTTTGTAATAATTAATTATTATATGTTTACTTATTATTAATAACATTTTATTCTCAATTATACTTTTTTATAATATGCTCTTTATTATTACTTGTAGTATATATATATTTTAATCATTACTTATATATAATTTATTACTATATTTATTAATGGTTCTAATTTTAGTAATAAGTAAAATATATATAAAAAAGTTAATATTTCTATTCAAGGAAATAAAAAATAATAATAAACTAAAAATATAAATAATTAATAATAAAAAAATAAAATAATTTAAAATCAGGTATGAATAATAATATTAAAAATTAATAAGTGAATAAATAAAGTAGAAAAAGATAAATATATTTACTTATTACTATTTATAATACAGTTTTATATATATTTTCGCTGATTACAATTATTATTAATTATTTTTATTCAATCGTACTTTATTAATTTTTTTATTATTATTAATTATTTTTAATTTACTATAAATAATACTTTATTATTATTTCTAAAAAAAATTTTTAAGCTTTGTTTTTGAGATGCTCCTTTAATTCTTAATTTGCTATTATTATTTTTTTTACTTATTATTGTTCCAAATCTATTTTTTTTATTTTTATTTCAGTACTACTTTAACTTTTGAACACTATCTCTTACTTATTATCGTAAATTATATACTTTTTAATGTTTGTACTTAATAATAATATTATTATTAATATTTAGTAAATATAACGGTTGACGCTATTAATCAAGCATCCGAAGTTGAGCAATGCGCCGAACTTGCTACTGAAATCGGAGAAAAACTAGCCGAAGCGGAACGGCTCGGCGAAGCGGGAGAGATCGATAAGGTATACATTGAAAAAAAGTTCATACGTACACGTATCACGTGGTTAATCACGCGGTCTTTTTTAAGCGGTTCGAACGCGTTTCTGTGTAGATTGAACTTTTTTTCATTATATACGCGTGATTTTATACTCACACGGTTTTCATGATATAGTTTAATCACGTGCTCCTTCCTAAAAGGATATTTTCCCTCATTCAGCAGGTGTTTATAAGGCTGGTCACGTGTTTAAACTGATCTGTAGCACGTGCGTTTTATTTTTAGTAATCATTAGTGTTAGGGGTCTCACTTGGTTTAAACTTGTGACTTTATAGTTTTATGCACTTGCTTTTACGTCTGAGCACGTGACTAGACTTGTATGTAACACGTGAGGTATAAGGCTTCCCATGGTTTATGAAAAGAGTTAGCCCCTCACGTGATTTATAGCTCGTTATACACATGACTATAGGGCTGAACACTTGACTAGGCTAGTATGTAGCACGTGATGTTTATTTTTATTGAATTCTACTTTTAAAAAATACTCATGAGGTCTAGGAATTGCCACGTTTCTGCATTGGTTGGATGATTCTATAGCTCTTTAGACACATGTTTCGTAAAAGTGGTTTAATCACTCGATATACCTTTTGTGCACCCCTTTTTAAGGATAAACACGTGACTGGGCTAATCTGAAGCATGTGTTTTCTCTTTTAAAAATTTGGTTTATTTTTTTTTTAATTTCTTTAAACGGAAGAGTATGGAACTTATGCGCATCGTAGAAGATTTGAAGAAGAAAAAAGGAGCGTTAGAGGTTTTTATAATAAAAATTATAATAATACTCATTATTAATAGTAATAATGATAGTAATAATAATAATAGTAATAATAATAATAATAATAGTAATAATAATAATAATAATAACAATAATAATAATAATAAATAGGAAAAACTAAAAGCGAATGACCCACAAATTAAAAAACTTCGTGTATGCGATGTTTGCGGATCTTTTTTAAATATTTTTGATAACGACCGACGATTGGCTGATCATTCATCTGGAAAACTTCATGCCGGTCGTTTAAAAATTGCTACAATATTTAAAGAGTTGCAGGAAAAGGATCAAAAAGAGAGAGAAGAACGGTTGGTTATTATTAGTATTATTCTTGTTATTCTTAGTCTTATTATTTATTATATTTATTAATATTGTTACTTTTATTATTTTTATTATTTTATAAGAAGCGTTTACTATATTATTAATTAATAATTATTATAATAATTAAAATTTTTTTTAGAAAGTTTTATTGTATTTTATAAATATTATTAAGTTTTCTGTATTACGAAAAATATTATGTTAATTATTACTGTTATTAAAAGAGTTTTATTATTCTAATTATTACTATTATCATTATTCTATTCATTATTATGCAAAAAAAATTATAACATTAAAAATAACAGCGGACTTCGATACCTATAGCAACAATTATAAGTAAATTAAAATTTCTCTTCATATAAATGTATATATATATATATATATATAATAAAATAAAATATAGGAGAAGAAAAATTTTCAAAAATTTATTTCAATTTAAAAATGAGGAAAAAGATATATAAAAGTTTTATATTAAAAAATATTTAAAATAATATTTAATAATACGTTTTATTTTTTTTATTTTTTATTGATTATAAAAGTAAAAAATGAAAAGTAAATGTTTATTGTAATGAAAATTTTTTATTTATTACTATTTTTAATATAATATGGAATTATTAAAACTTATGAACATTTATTTTTTATGAGTCAAAAAAAAAATCAATAAAGAAAAGTTTGCTTATTATTATTATTATTATTATTATAAATATTGAATAGCTTATTTATTATTATTATTATTGTACTGTTTCCATTAATAAAAAGTATTTATAGAAAAATATTATTTATTTTCATTATTATATAATGAATAGTAATTTAATATTATCAAATATAAAATTTATAGTATATATCCTTATTATTATAATAATTGCTTAATAAGAAAAAATTTACTTAATTATATTATTGTTGGTTATTATTATATAAAAATGTTTATTTACTTATAATTATAAAAAAAATTATTTTATTAATATTGTATAGAAAAGAAATTTAATTTTATTAAATATTAAAATTATTATATTTTTGTTAATCTTTATAATAGTTTTTAATATGAAATTTTTTAGTTATATTTTTTTGTTAATTATTATTATTGATGTGTGATTAAAAATTAATATATCAAAAAAATATTTATGATTATTATTATTAATTGTTTTATCATTTTGTTTTTATTTTTATTTTTTTAAAGAAAAGTTATTATTATTTAATAGAAAAATAAATTTTTTTTATATTTATTGTGTTTATTATTTTTATTTCTAAATTTTTTTAATTTTTTTTTAGTTATTAGTATTGACGTATAACAAGAAAAGTTTAATTTATTAACAAAATCTTTATTATTATTATTATATAAAAAAAGTTCATTTTATTATATTTTTGAATTTTTTTTTAATTAAGTTTTTTATTATTTTTTTTATAAATAAATAAAAATTACAAACTTTTTTTATAAAAAGTTGTATTTTTTTATATAAGAAGGAGAAAACGCGAACGTGAGACTCGAGATTCTGAGAAAAGAAGAAGTGAATTATTATTATTAATATTAATATTTATTTATTATTATTATTACAAAAATTATTAAAATTATTGTTTTTATTATTATATTCATAATAAAACTCGTTTTTTAGTTTTCTTATGAAATATTTCATCATTATATTTTACTATAATAATTATAACTTCTTCTGTTATATTGGTTATTAGTAATTATAATTATTATTTTAATATTTCTTTGTTATTTGTTATTATTATCACTTATAAAATAATATTTTTTATCACTTATATTATTATATTTATTTTTTTTTATATTTTATTCTTATTATTATTAATATTTATTTATTATTATTTTTAATTTTTCTAAATTTTATATTTAATTATCTATTATTATATCTTAATATTTTATTTATTTATCTATTATTACTATTTTTATTTTTTCTTAAATAAATTTTATTCATTATTATTATATTTAATATTTTACTTATTATTTACTTATTATTATTTTTCTTTTATACAATTCTATAGAAATTATTAATTTGTTTTATGTAAATTTAGTATTAATAAATTATAATTTTTAAATTTTTAAGTATTGTTATGACTTTTTATTATCATTATTTTTTTGCAATAATGACTTTTTTTATAATATATTTTTCCTTTACTCTTATTATTAGATAAACTTATATTTTTATTATTAGTTTTATTATTTTACACCATATTATAATTGTTTTAAATTTTATTTTTAATATTATAATTATTTTTATCTCTGATTTTTTTTATAATAATGACTTTTATTATTATTTTATTAATAATTATTTTTAATATTTAAATTTCTTTATTATATATTATTATTTTACTTTATATTATAAGTATCTAAATATATTTATTATTTATATATATATTTTTTTACTTATAACATTATATTATCACTATTTATTGTTTTATAAGATTCTCCTGTTATTTTTATATAATAATAACTTTTACTTTTTTTTAGTAATATATTTTTTACTTACTATTAATATTATTATAAATATTTTTATAATTAAAAAATTTATAATATATATTATTATCATAATGCTTCAATGATTTTATTTCAAATGATTATTATTTTTTATATTACTATTTTTATTATTTATTATTTACTTACTTATTTAAAAACTGAAATATATAATATATATTATCATTAAATTTTTTTAATTATTTATTATTATTTTGCTTGTTTATAAATATATTATTATTATAATTTATTAATGTTGTAATGTTTTTATATTTTTACTATTTTTATATTTTCATTATATTTATTGATATTTATATTATTTATTATTATCAATTTACTTAAATTTTCGTATTATTAAAAAATTTTATTATTATGATTTTTACTTATTTTTATTTTTAAATATTTTAGTTATTTATTATTATTAATATGTGTTAAATATATTTATTTTATTATTATTATTTAGAAATTTCAATATTATTATTTATTATTATCATTTTACTTAAATATATAAATATAATTATTATTTTTGTGTTTTATGATTATATTTTAATTTAATAATGCTATTATTATAATTTTACTTATTATATTTATTTCTTTTATATTTGTATTATTATACTTTTTTTTTAGTACTTCTTATTAATTCAATATTATTTGATTGTTCATATTATTATAATATCTATTATTATTAATAACATTACTATTATTTACCTTTTTTTTTGAGCATTTTACTTATATAAATTTAAATAATAATATTATTCTTTTAAATATTTTTATTAGTTTAGAAAATTTAATATTATCAGCGTTTATATATTATCATTTTTATAATTATTACTAAAAATATAAATTCTATTTTTTTTAATTTTTATTATTGTTGTTTTACTTGAATATATACATGTTATTCTTTTTATTTTTTATATTATTATTAGACTATCGAGACTCTCATAATAAAAAAACTCATCGCCGCAGTCGCAGCCGAAGTCGAAGTCGCCATCGCGACCATGCCGAACCGGGCTATCGTAAAGAAAAAAGCTCGATTCGAAGTCCAACTCGCCCACGTGATCGACGTCGTAGCCGCTCATAACAATTGTATGCATTTTTATTATTAATACAAATACATTTTATTTAAATTTACTTATTTCTATTATTTTTAATTTTTAAAGGGAACTAAAAACCAGGGGCCAAGGAATTCTTAATAAAAAAAACTACAAAGTAAACAGAAAGTAAAAAAAAAATAAATGTTTCACTTTAATTTTTTTTTTTCAAGTTTTTTATTATTATTATTTTAGTTTATGTTATTTATACTTATTATTACTAAAATTTTTATTGTGTTAACCTTCATATTTCACGTTTTCCAAGGTCAAAAGAAAAAAAAATAAGTGTCCTCTGTGTGTTCAAAAATATCAAAAAGTTTGTAAGATTGGTGGAATTTTTTTGTTAGATTACTTTTTTTTTTCATAGTAATAATAATAGTAATTAAATTTTTTAATATGTAAATTTAGTAGTTATACTTCATTATTTATTTTTTATTTAGTTTCATAATATTAATCATAAAACTTCTGGATTTTTATAAGTTATTATTATTATATTATTTTATTTTTGTCACGCTCCTTTTTTTTATAGTGCGGCGTAGCATGTGCGTCCGCGTGGAGCGCCTTCTAAAAAAATTATCGTAAAGTTTTACAAGTTGATATTCTTTTTTTTTAGGTATATAGAACGCTTTCTTTCACTGTTTAAATTTAAAAAAAATTGATTGGATAATACATGACCAATCGTTTTCATAAGTTTATAAATAAATTTATAAAAAATAATAATAAAAGAAAAAAGAAGAATTAACGTAACAAATAGTTAAAAAAAAAAGTAGCAAATTCTGTATTAGATTAAGAAGTCCAAATTAATAATTATATTGCAGGATCAGGCCCCGATAATTCATTATACAAACATAATAAAAAAAAATGTTTTATTTAATGGTTTATATACCGAAAGAACTATTAGAATAAGTTTTAAAAAGTATTTTAAGCTTAACTTTCATACAAATTTCGTTAATCTTATTGCGACTTAAAAACTCTATAGGAACGTAGCTTTGTTGCAGGCACATCTGCTTGCATAAACTTCGCAAAAAATATTACATGTTAAAACTTTAAATAATATGTTGCAAGACGCAATAAGTCAACAAAAATTACTATAAAATCTCATAAGTAAAACGTAGCTTCTATGCAAAATTAAAATTTCAATTAAAATGGAGTTCCATCCAAATATTGAACTCCTTCAACTTGCACAACCTGCTTATATCTTAATTACTGAATGTTATATAAGACTAGCTCGTTTTATATTTAGTAGTATTAAAAAAAAAGGATTACTTTAAGCTAGGTCATAAACTTAGACAACTTGCTTATAATTTATATATTTTAATATAGGACTAAGTTTTTTTACTGGTAGTCTTAAAAAATTTACTCTTCTATCAACTCAGACCTCTTATAAATAGATTTCAATATTTGGCTAGTGAGTATTTTACTAGTGGTCTTTAAAAAAAATTTTAATTAACTAACTTAGACAACTTGGTTAAAACTTAATTATAGATTTCTTTGAATGACTAGTGATTTTTTTTCTCGTGGTATTAAAAATTTGACTAATTTTGAACTAGAACATCAACTTTTACAGCTTGCTTATAAGTTAATTATGGATATTTATAGCTTACTATTGAATTTTTTTCATTGGTAGTATTTTAGTAAAAACTTTATCGAGATAGAATGTCTACTTACACAATTTTTTTAGAAAATTTATTACTGGTTTCTACAGTTGACCAATGAGTTTTTTTTCTAGTAGTGTACAAAAAAAATTCTAAGTCGGGTTAGAACATCTACTTAGACAACTTGCTTATAACTTAATTATAGATTCTTATAGGAGATTAGTGAGTTTTTTTACTTGTAGTTTAAAAAGAAGGGAATTTTAATCGAGCAATGACATTACTTAGACAATTTGCTTGTAAGTTTACCAAAGATTTTTGTAAGTGACCAGTAATTTTTTATCTTTACATATATCCATATTCGTAAAGGTTAAACCTCACTATTAACGGTTTTTATTTATGCACTGGCATACTACGCCGTCTTTATGAGACCTTAAACCGCTTAATCTGAAGTTCCTCATCTGTAGGGGTTGGGGCACGAGTGCTTACCGTACGCTCTTTACAGAGTTACAATGACTGTCCCAAAGGACTGGGAAAGCCGGAAATATCGGGCCAGGACTCCCGCAGTTCGGTCTAGTGTGGTGAAAACCGCTAAAAACCACCACCTGGAGAGGCGGCCTTAGACACAAGGCTCAAGGCCATCTGAAGACACCGACCAGCACCACTGCCAACCAGGCCTCTCCGATTATAGGCTCATACCCAGAAGGGAAAAGCCACTCGCTGTCTCTATTTTACTATTAAGATTTCTATATGTAAAAAAATGTACAAAAAAATGCAAAATTTTAAGTTTTACCAACCACTAAGCCACCCTTATGTTTGTGTTTTAAGTATTATCACTATTAAGTACATTGTAAACATAAAATATAATCGGGTTGAGAGATTAATTTTGTTGTAATTTTCTTTTAAACACAAGGTTCTTCGAACAGGCCATGGCATTTATTAAAAGACGTAGCAGCTTGTTTTAAGTGAAAAGGCTATACCGGTGAGGCGAAGGCCCAGAGAGTAGGCGCGTATGATAGTATTCGCCGGATACATAACACATACAAGCGTCGCTTGTGGTGCAACGTGTTTGCTTCGGGCACAAAGTAAAGGGTAAAAGGTTAAGCAGCTGTCTTGACCTTCTCCGCATCATAGTTTTTCGCGCGGTTCCCACGAGAGCTTATTATCAATAATAACCCCCAGGTATTTTGCTAGCGGGTACCAAGGTATTATCTCGTCTAACAAGATAGGCGCTAACGTTGGTTAAAAACGCTTCTTTGTAATAAAAATTTTACCTTTTCCGCGTTGATAGTAATTTTCCGCAGATGACAGTTGATAAGCGTCACTAATTACCACTGCCAATGTGTTGCACTAAGGACGGCAAGCTGAGTAGTAGTAAATCACCGTATTGCCCGTCCATACGGCAATTCGCGTGTGGAAGTAGCCAGGAGGTGAAACGTCACGCACGCAAGGCGCAAAGAGTAGGCGGTATAGTAGAGATACTCGTGGGACACCAATTGGATGAGTGCGCAAAGCCTACACAAGTATTAAATATGCCGACTTTGTGCTAAACTCGATTAAAAGCTTTTCGACATCAGGAAAGACGGAGCTATTTGCCCTTTTTAAATTAAAGGACCAAGTCTTCCATTTTTCCTATCAAACGGAGGAGCTGTTGGATTCGTGGACTGTTCTTGCCAACATTCAAATTGGAATTAGGCAGTGCCTGGTTTGCGTCAACAAACGTTTTTAAGCGGCAGTATGACTAATTCAGTTTCTTTGGCAAGGGATGTCAGACGTTAAAAGACCTGTTTTGATGTAGAGGCTGATTGTGGTGTCGGGGCAGGGGGACTACAGTTGCCGTCTTCTAGCGCAACGGGAAGGATATAAAAGACACCATTGTATTGACTTTAACATTGCATTAGTGATACCGCCGGGACAGGATGCCTTACGTCTCATTAGAGCTTTATTAATTTGCATGATTTCATTGTGGTAGTTGGCTCGGGCTGTTCTTTAGCAAGCAAAGAAGTTCGACTCACAAAGCACTTTATCTGCAAGTGAGGAAGCAGGTGGCATACAATGAGTGGCGATGTGATTAGCAAAAAGTGTCACTATGTCAGCATCATTTTCTGCCAAAAAGTTGTTGTCTCGCAAAGTAAGTAATGGGGTACGCACGGTAACTGTATCTCCTAATAATTTTCGGAAAGAGATGCAACCGTCATCGCTAACTTCCGAAATATTGCTCAACTTGGTCTTCCACAAACGGTTACGGTGCGTACATGCACTTTATATAATACTCCTGTAAAGTATATTAACCGTTAATACATCATCGAAGCGTTGTGTCGCCGTGTCATAATTAGTTATGAGCATACAACCAGATATATTTAACAATCTATAATAGGTTATAATAAAGATGTCAGAAAGATCTCTCTAAGCATTATATTTATTTTTAATATCAAATCTTTCTCTCCTTACATTGCAGGATAAGCCCGAAATTCCATAAGTACATTAGCCAAGTAATGAGTAGCATTATACCTCAAACGTCTTTTCTACAAGCTGAGACGTGGAGAAAGTTTAGACGCTTGACAATATAAATAAAATTTCATTATGCAATAATTTTAATAAGAACAATGAGCGCAGGGAATACTACGAATGTCTATATGAACATTGACTCTCCCACTAAAACGCACACACAACCAGAAACTACTTTAAAATCTTAAAGGAAGCTCTAAAGAAATCCAGACCAAATCGTTAATGCTTAAACTTTTAAATAATTGAAATATACTAAGTAACCGATTTTATCACTGAACAAAAATTAAATTTGTCACGGCCCCTAAGTTAGAGGTACATAAGTTGCATTTACGATTAATTGCACAAAAAGTTCAATTAGTATTTCCCTATTTTAACCTTTTTACCCGAGCTACCGAGAGAAGTCTTCACAACTCTCTTTATTTAAGCTTTTTTTTAGTAATTATATTAATTGATTTTAAAAAAAAACTAACTATTGGTTCACTTCAAGCGGAAACTTTCTGATCTGGCTAATTCCATTTAAGTCGCATAAAACACAAGGTAAGCATAATTCAGCTTACTTACAACTGTATCGACATAATCTATAAAATTAAAGTTTGAATAGATAAACTTAAAAATCACACTTTTTATAGTCAGTATAAAAAGAAAAAAGAAAATATCTGATCATACAATGGTTTTAAAAAATTTAAATATGTAAATTAATAATTCCAAATTAAATACAGCTTACACATATAATAATAACAACTAACGCAAAGCTATGCTAATGCCTGTCACCAAATACTTGAATATTCATTACTATTATTCCAAAAAAACGTTTAATACTTACAAACACAAATAAAAATTCGACCGGTCAAAGGTTTAAGTATTAAAACTGCATTTATGATACTAAACTAAAGAAACTTGTATTAAATATAGATAAGTATTTTATTAAATCCTACTTAATAAACTATTTTATTTTAGAACAAATACTTGTTGACCCACCCTGCAAGAGAAGAAAAGATAGAAATATTTTCGAAACGCCAAACTTTCAAAAG